ATACTGCCATTTATGATTGTTTAGCATATTACTGAAAACTGATTCCTTTATTACTGTGTGTAGGTGCACACACATACCACAATTACAGACTACACACACACAATCAACACACAAGTACAGACTACACACACACACACACAATCAACACACAAACACGAGTTTCGCATTTCGCATTTTCTGCACTAAATGATTTGGCACGACTGATTTTAAAGGTGAACTTTGCAATGTTAAGAACATAAAAAGAAAAAAAAAGGTAACGTTCTGGTTGAATATTGCCTCATAAGCTAATGCTTTAGCGTTTAGGCTAGTTTTTATTTTAATTTTAGCACTACAGTTAAGGTTATAGGTAAAAATGATGTGGGTTAAAAAAACTTGTTATTCGGGTTTCAAAGAATTAAATTACGCAATTCATTTATCAATGTCGTGCTTAACCTGAAAGTATCATGTTTATAAAAGCTTACAAAAATAGATTCGTAATGAACCAGTTTAATTTGTACTTGGTGGGGTAGATTAGGCTACATCATCGCTTGATTCAAGTATTGTTTTGTTACTAAAAGAACGACCTAAGTCTAGACAGCTGTTGATGTTATTGCGTTTTACCAGCCATCGTTTGAGAGCTTTTTTAATGGATTTTCTATTATATTTTGAACGTATTTATTAAATTTAATGGCATCCCTCTTGAGTATTGTGTTGTTTTAAATCAAAACACAAATTTCCATGGGACCCTTGATAAAATATCTCGATGGTGATCGTTGATAAAATGTCTTTGTATTTGTAGTGTTGGTTGTTGATTGTCTTGATAAAATATGTTAATGATGTTGGTTGTTGATTGTCTTGATAAAATATATTTACTTTATGATGTTGACTGTTGATAAAATATCTTAATGATGTTGACTATGTTGATGTTGATGATGTCGACTGTTAGTTGTCTGATAATAGAGCTTGGTGTTGATAGTGTTGGCTGTTGATTGTCTTGATAAAATATATTGATGATGTTGATGATGTCGACTGTTGTTTGTCTTGATAATATAGCTTGGTGTTGATAGTGTTGGCTGATAAAATATCTTGATGATGTTAACTTTTGATTGTTTTGATGAAGTATGTAGCTGTTAGCTGGTTTGGTTGCAGTTGTCAGACAAACTGACGTACTAAGTTGTACAAAATAAGTGTGTACGTACAAAGTTGTACAGAATAAGTGTGTACGTACAAAGTTGTACAGAATAAGTGTGGGTGTGCCTGCTAGCAAACACAACAGTTAACACCTGGCCTTTGACAGTTAGTTCAAGCGTATTGTATACGCTATCAGATCAGGATCTATCGCCGCGTTATTTAACAAACACAATGCCTTGACGCTTATTTCGTTTTAAGAAGGTTAATAGAACACTTGAGATTGTAGCTTAGTTTGGTTTTAATTATCTGTATTTCTTGTTCACATAGGGTTCTTTGCTTGAAAGACCGGTTATTTTTTGTTTGAGAGACGTTTTTTTATTCTCTTTATAAATGTTAATGGCATGGGCGTGTTATCGAGTCGGTAGGCTTTTAAAAAAACAGTTAGGGGGATGTTGTGGAGTAGGTTTTTTTTATGCTTTACCATGAGCTGTAGAGTCCATTAATCCTAAGATTATACAGTAGATTCGACGTAATTGAAACATTATATTTTTTAACTAATCGGCTGCGTAATTATTGCTTTTATTTAAGTGTTGAATTTGAAAAAAACAAAAGACTTTGTGTAGTTAAGTAGATCTGCGTTGTTTAGCTTCAATGTGATAAAAAAACAAAAGACTTTGTGTAGTTAAGTAGATCTGCATTGTTTAGCTTCAATGTGAACACAAGTCCAATAACTAGCCCTGCCTGTTTGTATCATTCAACATGAATTGAGGTAATGCGGTGTGAGCCTGCCGTAATGTAACATCAGCTCGGCTCCCACTAAGCCGCACGGGCTTTCTTTGTTGAGGCTTCTGTTTTCATCGAATTCTCTGTAATCCTATAACCCGGCCAAGTTAAAATATCTCAACAAGACGAGTGCTTTCCTTAAAAAAAAATCAATATTCATCCTGGTGATGGACCAATCTAGAGCAGGTCAGTCCGTGGGGTATTGTGGAGCACCCGGGGCCTGTAATGCGAGAAAGTGGTGCGTGTTTTTATCTGGGAATTCTGACGGTTAGCTTTGTGTAAAAACGTCCGGGTTTTTTTTTTTTCTGTTTATAAAAAAAAAAAAAGCTCGCATTTAATATTGTTGTACGTTTTTTATATACAGGATTTCTTTGTTTCTTTGTGGATAATTTTCTTTTGAAAATAGTGTATTTTTTTTACCTATACGAGTTAGATTTTTTACCATACTTCGTACTAGATTTTATATATCCTTTAGGCCCTAGCGGAGGTGAAAACAATTTTTTTTACTATTGTTGCTCATGTTTTTAAACACAAAGATGATTTCGATCTAAATACGCCATTAAAAAAAAGTTCGGTTCAATTGTGGAATGGTAAACAAACACATGTGGCACAACAGGAATGCTTTATAACTATATTGTAATAGGACACAGATGGTGATGACAGTAACGTGCTTGTGTATCTAATCTGATGTATCTAGATGTTCTCTAGTACGTTGAATAGCTTTGTCCTTTGTCCTTTGACATTTTTTTTTATTGAAGCGATGATTTGACACATGGTGACAGCAAAGCGTTTGTGTATGTGATCTGAGATTTCTAAATGTTGAACTAATACGTTGAAAAGCTCTGTCGCTAGAGAAAAAAAAACAACATAGGCCTAGAAGCAATGTTTAGAACCAGATGGTGCCTCGAAAAATATATGTGCATCTAATTTGAGATATCTTGTCAGTTGAAAAGCTTTTGTCCTTAAACATTTTTTTTTTATAGAAGCGATGCTTCGACACATATGTCGATAGCAAAATGTTTGTCTCTAATCTGAAATATCTAGTAAGTTGAAAAGCTTTGTCGTTAGAAAAAAAAATGTATTGAAACTATCTTTAGACACGAAGGTGATGACATCAAAGTGTTTGTATATCTAAATTAGTGGTACGTAAAAAGAAAACTTTATAAATTGAGGAAACATTTTTTTTAGATGTATTGTTGGGACACAGATTGTTGTAACCTTGGCGTGTCAGAAAATATTTATATGTGGTCCGTACTGGTCAGTAAAAAAATTCAGAAAATCGATTATAATAAGGCCAGCTCTCGTTGAGCCGTAGGTTACAGGCTAAGAACCGCTGAACAAAAAAATTATTCCATCAGAGAAACAATTCTATTCTCTTCGCCATGGCGGTTTTTTTTTTTTTTACACCCTATCGTCTAAATCTATATCGGCCTGGTTTTCTTTTTTTTTAATAGAGATAATAACCGTTGTTGAATGTATGCTTGGTTGTCGTAAACGTTGTCGTTAGACTCACGGGGAAGGCAGAAATACGCTTTGTAACGTTCTAAAATCGGCGCTATTGAAGTACAGATAATTAAGTTGTTTGTACGGTCTTTGGTCACTGAACTGGGTTGGAGATATTGTCTATTTTGAACAGGGGACAATCGATTTAGTCGATTGGAATAGTTAGGTATAAAAAAAGGCAAATAAACGCATACAATTATCAATAAAGAATGGATGTAGCAATGAATAAAAAAAATAGCAACATCAAAAACAGTTTCGCAAGCCTGGAAAATAAATAGTACTGTTTGTTTTTATGATTGAAATTAACTTCAAACGACATCAAAGAAAATCAATGAGCCCAACAGTTAACGAAATCTGACAGCCGGAGACAGAAGCAATGCACACTTGACCTTTGTGTTGCTATTGTCTCTGGTTGTGTTTTTAATTCGCATTAAAATATTCATTTTAAACAAGAATTGAGTTGTCTTAATTATGCACTGAAAGCATTGAACAACGGAGGCGTGAGTTACGAAGTCTTGTTAATTGTCTGTTTTTTTTTAATTTATTTCATCAACGTAGACGAACTGATGGCCGGTCAAGTTTTTTATTTTACCAAATAAATTGCTTTCTGTATAATCCCCCCCCCCCCCTTATAGCGGTTAAACACGGGGCAGTAGGTCTTGTGTACTGTAGAATACAATAGACGATCTAAATATAGAATCACTTCACTACGCGAGCTGCTGTTGGGTGGCATTGCTGAGGGTAATGATTTTTTTCCCTCTCAGTGTAGAAACAAGTGAGCTCTTCTATGTACTGGTAATGTATTATGTACACATCTAACTGGAACAGTACAGCTATTCTGTTGGTCTGTTTCATATATTTTACCTAATACCAATACAGATATTGATTTCTTTTGTGTAAGAATAGCCTAGGTGTGCTTGTTTTTTTTTTTTTTTTTTTATTTTTTTTTTAATGTGTCTGGTTATTTCTAATGTTTAGTAACCTTTCTTGTTTTATAAGCTTAGGCCCAGTGTTCATAATACAAATGTAGTTTTACTTTTGGTCTATTTAAGTATTTTGATATTTATGTCATTTGGCCATTAAGAAAATATAAAGAAAACAGTTCTTCATGCTATTGTAGGAAGAGTAGAAACTATGAATATTTTATTAACTGTTGTCTATAGTTTCACCCCACCTTGTTGCCTTAGTATTTGATTGATCTGTGGCACATCTTACATCATAAAGGACTTGCTCTTTAACAGATCACCCTTCTTTCCCCCCCCCCCCCCCAATATAACAGGTTTATTATATGTCTGCTTGACAGATATATCAACTTATGGGTTGTGTGTTCGACAGCATGTTAATAATGAACATTTACCATCTGATTTGTTCAATATATCACTAGTTAGACAGCATGTTAATAATGAACATTTACCATCTGACTTGTTCATCAGTTCACCATTTAGACAGCATGTTAATAATGAACATTTACCATCTGACTTGTTCAATAGATCACTAGTTAGACAGCATGTTAATAATGAACATTTACCATCTGACTTGTTCATCAGTTCACCATTTAGACAGCATGTTAATAATGAACATTTACCATCTGACTTGTTCAACAGATCACTAGACGGTAGACTCCAAGTATTTCACAGGAAGGGACTCCCGCACGTCATTTACTGTCGACTTTGGCGTTGGCCAGACCTCCAGAATCACCAGGAGCTACAGCCAGGTGACAGGTGTGAATACGCTTTCCATTTGAAGAAAGACGAAGTTTGTGTTAACCCATATCATTACACACGAGTAGAAGTAGGTAAGTATCTGGTTTTTATTGTTTTGTTTTCAGAGTAGGTTCAAAAAGCCTAGTGTAGCTATTTTCTTTGAAATGTAGCTCTATTGATTTTAGGATTATTACTTATTTATTGGCCATCGTGGCTGCACAGTTGTTTTTTCCCTGTTTTTTTTCTTGTGTTAAGTGAAACTTGTAACAACACATACCTTTAACTCCACCCTATTAATGTGAAAACATTTCAAGATATTCAATTCTGTTTTAACTACATGTCTTTATTTTTATTGTTATAAAACTATTGTGTCCTTCTCAATTTTGCAGCTCTGCCGAGGGTTCTGGTGCCAAGGCACACAGAAATACCAGACATCTTGCCCAAACTTGAAGACTATAGCACTACTATACCCGAAAACACGGATCTCCCAAGCAGTAGCATCAATGATACTCCATTTAATATATCGGGTGAGTTTAATCATGCTGTTTTTATTATTACTGTCTAATTAGGATTTATTTAACAGGAACTGGTTTCTCTTTCAGAAATCATTTCTTATTGTATAAACACTAAACATACAACTAGTTGGTCTTTTAAAAGGTAATTAACTAGGTATGATATGGAGATGTGGTTAATTTTTTTTCTCAATTTTATTATTGTATATGGACGCACTTCATCTCTTAAAAAAAAATTTCTGCTGCAAAATGTTGACCAAAAAAAAATGTTTCAATTTAATTTTTATTTTTTAAAAATTTTTTGGACAAACATTGTTTTGTTTCTGTGGTCAGCTACCAATAAGATCTACCAAGCCAATAAATTTTTTTAACTGCTGCAGGTTTTTTCTATTGTTGTTTGAAGTAAATCTGGTAGTTATAAGGCAGAATTACAATAGTCATCACAAGCACTAGCTCAGTGGTTCCCAACCTTTTTCGAGTGGCGACCCCCTTTTATAAAAATTAAGTGACCCGCGACCCCCATAGAATTAAAAAGCCGAAATTATTATGGAAATCAATAAGCACTAAAATAAGATTTTTTTGGTAGACTTTCAATATGAACTACTCTTGATAACTGTTTTAATACCATGAGTAAAATTGCATACTATTCACTAAACATTCGCGGTTAATTTTTTTTAAGTATTTTTTTTTTTGTTAACGCTAACATATGTCATTATCATTATCTTAATTTTGTTTTTAATCGAAAAATAGTGTTGAAAATCTATTCTCGAAAAGTCCATCAATTTTACGTTTGGGTATGAATGGTGAATACTACACCAAAATTGAGTGTGCAGTTTTTTATCTTACGCGGAATCATTCTACAAATCAAAGAATTCATCTTGTATTCATCGTGAATGCTGGCAACATCGAGGGAAGAAGAGAATGGGTTATGCGTCAATGCAGATGCTTTTTTTTTTCAGCTCAGAGAAATAGCGCTGCAGTTCGTTTTCAAGAGATTCAAGATGCCCAGAAATTTCTTCTGTCAAAATTTTAATTATCTCACAATTAGATTCATCTACCACACTGCAGAGTTTCTCAAATTTACAATATTTCCAAGATTTATTTTCTTTACCGATTTTGCAGCTTTGATAAAAATGCCCCGAGATTATCATGGAAAGTTATAATATTCGTTCATTTTCCCTGAAGCTTCAGGTTATGCTTATGTTGATGTTCGAACACATCTGCTAGGTATGATACTCTCTCCAACCACTCTATGTCGTTTTAAGTATACCAAAAGGTCTTGTTTCCTTTGCATTTCCAAGAACAATTTGATTTCAGATTCAATTCAAAAACACGATTCACAACAATTCGTTTGACAGCCAGCGCACTGTAGTGTAGAAGAGCAGAACCTTGTGATCTATATTAATGTTTTTGCTCAGTTCTTTGAAGGCTCCAGATTTTATATAATTTACGACTTATACCAGCAATGGAGTCTTGATGGCGATTGGTGAGGGTAGTGGTTATGGAGCGAAATCTTTTCTGCTTTCTGAAAGCCCGATTTTGACCTAAACATAGATGGTGCACCATCCGCACAAACCCTCACAGCCGTTTTAACCCATTTTAATCATCCAATTTAAAAAGAAAAAAAAATATTTTCTCCATGCTATCTTCACAAAAAAGCAACTCTTCTTTGCTATCATCTGAATGAATATAGACAAAGACCAGCAACTGCGAACACGAACTCGCGTCTTTTGATTTATCAACTTGAAAAGCAAACAATGGTGAAAGCTTAATTTCAATAAAAATGTGTTATTTAACATCTATGGACATGTAAGAATTAACTTCACCATCTTCAACATGCAGCGTTTGATGAGATTTTCTCCTAATGTGTTTTTTTTTTTTTTGCTTGGCATTTTCTGTCGCGACTTCATGTGATGCTTGCACTAATGCTGTGTTTTCTTGGTGAAAACGTTCTGTTCGATCAAGTCTCTGACATTTGCAACTAGCTTCATACCGACGAAAGAACTCAATATCTTTTTTGGTGTGTTTCGAATGACTCGTCTCAAATGACGTTTTAGTTTTGAAGATTTCATAAACTCGTGACTGAGAACAACTTTGTACAGTACGCTTTGCTTCTTCTCTATTCCCTTTCCAGTGATGTTAGTAAAGCCGAATTTAAAAAATTCTTCTAAATATTTATGTTTTGTTTCAAATTACTAAGGTTTAGTATACCAGTTGGCGACCCCCCAGAAAGCCTTTCGCGACCCCGAGGGGGGTCGCGACCCCCAGGTTGGGAACCCGTGCACTAGCTGCTTTTACTTGTCTTGTTTTGAGTCTATTACTCTTAAAGCTGGGTAGACTATGGGTGTCATACTGTCTTAAATTTGGCAATTAAACTTGGTTTTGGTCAGTGATTGTGTTCTACCACAAGACCTCACCATCCCATTTATTTAAATTTGTATTAATAAAAGCTACTGTATTGATGATAATATGCAATTCGGTGCCTTTTTTTTTACTTTGAACAATTAGAAGAAAAAGTTACAGATTGAGCAAAGTAACAATAACATTTAACAAATTTATTTCTATAATAGCTCTATAACATAAACAAGACAATTTTTGAATGAAACACTTCACTTTATTTTTTTATGATTATTTATAGGGAATGTGTTGAGTCTACTAGATGTTATTTAAACTAAAACAATTACTAAATATAAATTAATTGTTTCATATACAATATGGTCACTCCTTTTTGATGCAGCAACACATCTAGAATGTATAGTTATATCACTTCATTTTCCAAATGCCTGCCTTTCAGCTACCAATGAATCAATATTATATTTATATTCTTTTTACTTATAGATACACCCTCCCCGGGGTATCTGAGTGAGGAAGGGGACACCACTGACAGTCAGGGCATGGGTAAGTTTGTTTTAATCTCATAATGCTATTAAAGTTAAGTGTTGTGTGTAAAGACATAATAAATAATGATATCAACACTTCTATATTTTTTGTAATGTTGCTTTTCATTTTAGGTTTATTTATCTTATTACTTTACTACCATTGAAGATCTACGCTTAAGACTATTTTGTTGTTGAATAACATTATGATCAGTACTCAGCAAAAAGAAAAGCTACTCTTTTTTCTATTTTCATGCAATTTTTTTAAGCACATTAGTTTCAAGTGATTGTAAACTTAAAAGAATGTTTATTTTTTCAAAACATTTATAAAAAAAATTACTTGAAATAGTACCAGTGTGGAATATTTTCTATATCTTGGTAAAAAAGTTTAGTGGTGTTTTTATACAATACGTCACCACATATTAAAACGAATCAGGTGGCCAATAAAATTGTCAGTAATATTGTCACAGATCTTGCTTACTAAAAACATTTTTATCCTTGTTTTTTAGATGGTGTGGATATGTCCCCTAGTCCTCCATTAGGTAAGTTACAAATATTTTCTTATAAGGCTTAAAAATATATCTTAGGTTTACTTTGATTTTAATGTATAATATTGGTAGTTATTTAAAACCCACTGCCACTCAATGTAATGTTTCCTCACAAAAAATATAGTTAACTTTGGTATTGATGAACATTATCATGATTTAAAATGTCAATTATTCATTTTGCCACAAAAGTACTAAATCCTTTCCTACCTTCTCAGAGTGTTGGACATTTTTTGTGGATATTTTTGTGGATGGCTAATTAAAATTGTGTTAAACCTAATTATTGATTAATATCCCCCCCAACAGACAACAACACAGAGTTGCAGCCTGTGACATACAAAGAGCCAGAGTACTGGTGTTCTATAGCTTACTACGAGCTGAACATGAGGGTGGGGGAGACCTTTCATGCCTCACAACCATCACTGACAGTGGATGGCTTCACAGACCCCAGCAACTCTGAGAGGTTCTGCTTGGGTCTTCTGTCAAATGTCAACAGAACACAGCAAGTTGAGATGACACGGAGGCATATAGGTGAGATTTTCAGTCTGGGTTTGAAAGTTCTTTAGACCAGGGGTCTCCAAACTACGGGCCGGATGCGGCCCGCAAGGTCCTCTCATCCGGCCCGCGGAGATCTTTTTGTCCACGGAAAAAATGTCTGTTGAGGTGGCTGAGGAACTTTGCCCAGAAAATTCAAAACAATTTGAAAATGTAGCTTTGGGCGCAAATACCTTTGCATACCGTGTTGCGGACATTGGTGAAAACATTGTGACTCAAATAGCGAATAATGCAAGCAAATTTCACTCTTTTTTAATTGCAATGGATGAGTCGCTGGACAGCTGTTCCACCTCTCAACTGCTTGTGTTCATTAGGGGTGTGGATGAAGACATGAACATAACACAAGAGCTGGCTTCCCTACATATTATGTATGGAACTGTTACCGGAGAGGATATATTCAATGAGTTAAAGAAAACATTTGCTGATTATAACTTGGACTGGACTAACCTCAGTTACCTGACTGTTGATGGGGGAAAGTACATTAGTGGCATAAAGAAAGGCTTGGTTGGACAAGCGAATGAGAAAAATATTCTACAACCAATGCTCCTGCACTCATTTATTCATCAGCCACCTTTGAGTGCTAAATTTATGGACATTAGCAGTGTACTGAATCCTGTGGTGAAGATGTCGAATTTAATAAGGTCACATGGGCTCAACCACAGATGTAGAATACGTGAAGAATAATTTGAGAGCAAACTTGGACCTCGAGTGTGTTGTCGGCCCCCGACAGTGTTTCTTTCAGATTTTATTTCTTGGAGGGGGGGGGGGGGGCGGCACTTGAAATTTGTATATATTTCTATATAAATTAAAAATTTTAGTGGGGGGGGGGGGGCAGTGGAGGTTTTTTTTTGGGGGGGGGGGGGCGGCTACATAACACCGAAGAAACTCTGGCCCCCGAACTGATATTTGGTAGTCAATGCGGCCCTCGGTCTGAAAAGTTTGGAGACCCCTGCTTTAGACCAACATATTTCATTAAATCTATGGATTGGCAGAAAAAAATAAAAGTAAAATAAGCTCTGGACTCTAACCACAGACTTCCAGAATTTAAACCTAAACATTTGTTGTGTCAATCCAATAAGATAAGTCAATGTAAACAAACTTTTAGTATCAAATTTTTTTAAATCTTGAAATTTATACTATGTTTGAATTGTGTTTGTCAACATAGTAAAGCATATGTTGCTCAAGTGTTTTTTCTACTAGTATTTTACTGATGATACCACTCTTCAAACCAAAGCTTACACTTCAATTGTTTTTCTGCAGTTCACCATCATGTTTGTTTCATATTTTCCCAGGGCGAGGGGTGAGGTTGTACTATATTGGAGGTGAGGTATTTGCAGAATGTCTTAGTGACAATGCTGTGTTTGTACAGTCTCCCAACTGTAACCAGAGATATGGCTGGCACCCTGCCACAGTGTGCAAAATACCCCCAGGTGAGCAGTGTTAAGGCATGTAGCGCACATTTTTAGACGATAGTTTGAGTAGCTGTCAGTAATACTATACTCTTGTGCCATGACTATTTTGTTCCTTTATATTTTTCTACAGTAAATTCAGTACAAATAAATAAATAGGCTTAATTGAGGTTTACTAATTATTATTTTGTTATTACATTATTTTTTTTTAGTCAAATATATTTGCCATTAGTAAGAATTTTATCTTTGTTTTTACTGTTTTAAGAAAATTGTGTGCTAATTCTGCATCTCAAATATCCCAGCCCTCGTCATATCCTAAAATTATACTAACAATTTAAAATATCCAATTATAATACTTTTTTTCCCTGCTGTATTTTTTAAAAAAGCTAACCTTCTGGACTTTATGGTCAATAAGACATAAAATAGTCATCTGTTTCTGTGACTTAACTTTCCTTAATATTAGGTACACAGCTGGGTGGACTCAGGTACACCTTACATGTTAAGTCCAAAGTCCAAACTCAAGAATTTTGGGCTAGTCAACCAGCTCTTCCACCCCGACTTGCCATCAGATTGTCTGCATTTTTAGAACCTGTGTAATTTTGTTTTGTTCACAACATATTTTTTTGTCTATTCCCAGGCTGTAACTTAAAAATCTTCAACAATCAAGAGTTTGCAGCTTTGCTAGCTCAGTCAGTGAACCAGGGATTTGAGTCTGTTTATCAGCTGACTAGAATGTGTACCATCAGGATGAGCTTTGTCAAAGGGTGGGGGGCTGAATACAGGTATGTATTGGAGATACTCAGCATGCTAAAACTTATTATCTTGTTTAAGCAGAGGCTGCGAGAAAACTGGGAGAAACTGTTCGTGAATAGAATGGGTGCAATTATGGAATTTAAATTCTTTGGTGATGGTCAATTAGCTATACATGCACATTTTGTATCATAACATTACTTCAGCACAGTTATAGCACTAAGTTGAACTAGCCTAAGAGTGATAGTAATTTTATCAGTGGGGCTAGTAATACATAAAATGATAGAGCTAATTGATTAACAGCAACAACAACATGGGGTTAACTTTGCTTTAATTATATTGAATCACTGAGCCCTCTTAGCTATAATGGTAAAGATTCCCCATTAGGCCTTGCGATCCAGTTTGGCTGATGAAGTTGAGTTCGTATGTTTCTTGACCTCTGCATATGGTGTGCTCAGCACTATGCCCAGCCACCTTTACTCTCCCCATTTTAAGCCGGGTACCCATTAGAGCTGGGTGGACTAAGGAATGTCCTACAGTCACAAGAACTCGAGACCTACAGGCTAGCAGCCGTACGGTTCTGATGGTTACTTAACTTGAAAAAAAAAATCAGCAGTTGTTGCTGACCATACAATCCATTTTGTTGTTGAGTTAGAAAAAATATAATTAAATAATTAATAATTAAATTAGTAGAATTAAATATAAAGTTAATTAAATAATTAACAAGTGTAATTTTGTTATTGTTTTTGCTAGACGCCAGACAGTGACAAGTACACCGAGCTGGATTGAGATTCATCTTAATGGACCTTTACAGTGGCTGGATAGAGTGCTTACCCAGATGGGCTCCCCAGGCCTGCCCTGTTCTTCTATGTCATGAGTTGCTGTCTGTGACACATGTCACTGTCATGAGTTGCTGTCTGTGACACATGTCATTGTCATGAGTTGCTGTCTGTGACATGTGTCACTGTCATGAGTTGCTGTCTGTGACACATGTCATTGTCATGAGTTGCTGTCTGTGACATGTGTCACTGTCATGAGTTGCTGCCTGATACATGTGTCAATGTCATGAGTTGCTGTCTGTGACACATGTCACTGTCATGAGTTGCTGCCTGTGACATGTGTCAATGTCATGAGTTTGCTGTCTGTGACACATGTCACTGTCATGAGTTGCTGTCTGTGACACATGTCACTGTCATGAGTTGCTGCCTGATACACATGTCACTGTCATGAGTTGCTGTCTGTGACACATGTCACTGTCATGAGTTGCTGCCTGATACACATGTCACTGTCATGAGTTGCTGTCTGTGACACGTGTCAATGTCATGAGTTGCTGCCTGTGACATGTGTCACTGTCATGAGTTGCTGACTGTGACACATGTCACTGTCATGAGTTGCTGTCTGTGACACATGTCACTGTCATGAGTTGCTGTCTGTGACACATGTCAATGTCATGAGTTGCTGTCTGTGACACATGTCAATGTCATGAGTTGCTGCCTGTGACATGTGTCACTGTCATGAGTTGCTGTCTGTGACATGTGTCAATGTCCTGGGTTTGCTGTCTGTGGCACTTGTAAAAAATCCTTCAGTAAAGATGGTTTACCAAACTAAGGGAAGCAATCAGCATGTAAAAACATGAATTTGTTAGTGACATGAGCAGCAGTGTTTTGAGAACAAATTTTTCTAGCATGTCGGTATGAAAAGTTCCACAGTAGCTGGTTCAAATCTTTATCTCACTGTGTTGTTAGTACACAATGGCATGATGATGTTGTTGCCTCCCCTCTTGATCGTTGCAATCATGACAACATTAGATGGGAGATAACCAAAGAGTGGGAGCTACAACTTGCATTGAGTAACTTGCTGGCTAACTAGTTCATTAGTCACACGCCATAACATTCAAACACAAATCTTCATTGGTATAAAACTTCGACGTAACTTTTATAACTATTGCTGGCATTACCATTTGTAAATTTTTTTTTCCAAAAAAAAGATATAGTATTGTCAAAGTCTTAGTAAGAGTTAAGTTTATGTATATTATCTAATTTTAAGCATGCTACTGGAGTTTTTTGCTTCTGTGTAATCTTCTAAAAGATGTTTTGGCTGTATGTTACACTGTAATTTGACCACTTATCCAATTTTTGTTGGGATCCTTTTAATATGAGTATGTTATACATTTCCTATTTATCATTGCATAAGTTTTCAGAAATATCCTCTATTACTTTGTAGTTAACTTTTTTTTTTGCATTCTAAAATTGATCTTTGGCTTGAGTTGATGCTGAGAGAAAGTCAGTAATAACTTAACTGTTTTTATTATTTATTTTTAACAGTAATATATAGTGTAGAGCTGTTTTTATACTAATTTAGAGAAGAAAAAAAATGTATTATCGTTGATATCTAGTGTTTTGAAGTTATTATTTTAAAGAAGAGTTAATAGTATTCTAGATTAGGCTGTTTTTAATGTTGGAAAACTGAGTTTGTAAATAGGTTATTGGTTTTGTCTGCGTCATGTGTTAAAAAAAAATTACAAATTTTATGTTGATACTAACAACATACCAGTGAAGAAATTGACCGGGTAAATGTGTTCATTTGTTGATTGCGACTATCCAAGTTCAGTTCTTAATTTAAGATAAAAAAAAATAAATAAATAAACTGACCCTTCTGTGATAGCCATGTTTACTGGGTAAATACCCTGAATATTTTTTGTTTGAGATTATATTTACAAATTAACAAAAAAATAAAAGAAACAGTCAATCTAACTTGAATTGTGAAATCAATTTTGGGCCAGATACTTGTATTTGAATGAAAACTAAAACTTTTTGATTGAAATTACTGATACAAAGATGTAAATTATCATTTCACAAATTATTTTTCCCCTCTCTGTTACCGCTTAAAGCCACAGTTTTGCTTGTTTTTACAATACATTTATTGTTAAAATACAAGAAAAAGAACTTTGGTAAAAGTTGTGTTTTGTCATGTTTTAAAACATGTATTATATATACTTTCCCAATTGTTTGTCATTTTCAAAAGTTTGAAAGCAGTCACTTGTTGTATCAAGTTAGTCCTCTAGGATCATTTGTATAAATGTTTGCAATCAACTAGAATGACTGTTGTAAACTAACTGCAGCCAACATAATGATTGTTGTACATTTTATGGAAGCCAATGTATGATTGTATTAAATTACTACAGCCAACACAACTGATTCTTGTATACTACTCTCTAGAAGAAAATACAATTTTACAAATGTTAAAAACAAAATGTGTATCTATTGCAATGAAAACCCCCTTGTTTACCAAACTGTTTTTATTGTCCTGACCCTGTATGTACAAATCATGTATGTAAAGTGGTAGATTTTGTTTACTCCTCTGTTAAAATTTAGTTCCCTTTACAGTTGAGTCATTTATAAAAGCACCCACAGTAGTAGGCCACAAACACAATTACCTGGGGATTGCTTTTTAGGTCACGACCAACTTGGCCACCAGTAACACATTTGTGTTGTATTTGTTAAAAATAAACTGTGTTGGTTTATTCAAGAGATTTTGAAAGTGAGTATAATTGAGTTACCCGTTCATGTGCTCGGTTCTAAATAATGGCCACCTGGTACCAATAATGTGGAAAAGAACAAAATTGTGTTATTTACATTTTGTTTCAGTAAAAAAATATTTTTACGGGATAACTAAAATTACGTTTAAATTCTGTGAGAACTATGAGGCTATTTCATAAAGACTGGCTGGTAGTAATGGTTGCTATGTTTATAAATAAACCACTTTTTGTAGAAACTTAAGCTTACTGTAAACCCATCATCACCAGCCATACTGACAAAAGAAATTTTTCAACAAACATTTGATACAACAGCACACTGATACTCTTTGGTTTTGTTTCAGTACCAGTTATAGAAAAAGGGGTGTTTTTTTTTTTTAAATTTAGTCAAGGACACATGCTTAAGTTTCATTTGTGATAAAACAACTCCAAATTAAATCTATAAAGGGTAATGATTATTTTAAATGTTTGTTTTGAAATGTCATTTATAAAATAAAGTATCAAGTTCCATCCCCATTAAAATTTTCATTTGGATGAAACACATCGTCGCAGTAGATTTCTGCCAGAGCCAGCACCAACCCACTAAGTGATTTGTGGCAAATTCTGCGAATAAAGCCATGGTTCTTTATTTGCTTACAACTATAAAATTGATATTTCACTGTGTTGGTCATAATCAAGTTATTGAGTTCCTTTTTTCTTAGTTAAAAAAAAAATGCAGGGTTTCACAATTTTTTTTTTCTTGAAGATTTTGAATTTTGTACTATTGTTTAATGTCTATTTATATCTAGAATGTTGAATACACTGCTCCATGAGCTGGTTCTATTGGTGTATAGTTGCATGATACAGTTAGCCTATACAAGTATTGATATGGCTCATTTTATTTTTGTCGTTTGCTTCATCTGCTTGGGCCCACACAGTTTGAACTAAAGCTTTGTTTTTTAGAACTTTCATAACCAAAGAAGTTGCAAAAATAATATTTTTTAGAAATAAAACTAATTCTGTAAATTAAGTCAACCCTTTAATCCATTTAACCTTTACTGTAATTGTTGTATTGTGCATGAAGCACAATCAGTTTAACATAAGGACATTGTAAAGTGGATCTAGTGCATTGTTTTAAAGCAGTTAAAGTGTCTACAATTAATTTTTAGATATCTGACCTTTATAGCTGAAATGTTATACATCATGCATGGTTTTTTTGTCAGGAAATCAATTTGTTTTAACAATTTTTAAAAATAAATTGCTTTTTTTGTTGCTATGAATTTCAGATACTGTGTATTTGTATATGTAATTTAATCATGACTGCTAATACGAAATAAATCCTTTACAGAAGGAACGTTTATCGATAAATTAGAATTGCTTATTTACCAAACTGCTTTAGGTATTGTAATATCAGTTTGTTATTCTAAAATAGCTTTTGCTTATATATTTTTTTACGTTGATCAGTCAAGTTTTAGTTTAGGTTAGCAAATTTGCTTGCCTAGAACAGAAATGGAAGAATGTAATTATCATACATAAGTATCTTAACTAGGGCAGTAACATTTAATCATGTCAAGAGTAAGTGTGATGCATTTCTGTAAGATTGTGAAAATAAAGAATTTTTCGTCACATACAAGGTTTTAAAAAGCAAAAACATTTCTGTAGTAAGATTTGCTTAACCATTTTGTAAAGGAGAAAGCTTAATGTAACAGCAATTTTATTGATCAGAGATAAGTCTATATGCTTACAAACATAAACAATGTCATGTGATCTCGTTAGTGTTTGTGAAAAAAAGCTTATTTACTATGCTATGAACTGTTATCACTTTTTATCTTGCCCCGGTAATCATTATGAAAATGTTCTTCCAAAACTACATTTAAGAAAAAAGTTATATTGAAGAAAATAAATTGTCTATCAGTTATTTATCCTATAATTTGTATGGTAGCCTGGTTGTGAATACAAGAATCTTAAGATGTAACTTTGTATTGCTATATATAATGGCTATACACACATTTTATTGTTTTGTTTATGAGTTCCATATAACATTGATCTTGTATTTAGTGTTAAATATCTTCATCCCAATCACACTTCATCATTGGAACATTTGAAAAATAATAAACATATTTGCAATCAGAAGGGGTGTTATAAACATTTTTTAATAAAGTATAAAATTGTGGGAACATTTCACGGAATGAAATGAATGCAATTTTGAAATACATACAAAACCAGCCATAAAACACTTGCAGTGTAGTTGGGATTTTACCCACAAAATAACAGGTTAACCTTTTTAATTGTCATTACATGCATAACTTGCAAAAATTAAACATTCAAAAAACTATTCCCAACTTTTCTTAACTAATTATTAATGTACTTTTAACCATTATTGCAGAGATTGGCACCACCCAGTTAAACCTTTCCTGTCTGGGTGGTAAAAGGATTCACTTTCTCATGGTCAAGCAAAATGAAGCACTTCAATCAACATACATTTTAGAAATAAATTGTTTTAAAAATATCCAGTTATTAAAAACATCTTAGTTTAATATATTTGAGTCTCCATAGCTTAATCTTTTACAAATAATAAAAAACAAAACAACAAACCTTTACTATTATTTAAATTTTAAAAGTTTGGTGAAATAATTTTTAGAATTGTAACTCTACCATTATTTTCTTTTCAAGTATCTTTATATTATTAAAATAGTTCACCAGTAGAGGCATTTTAACTAGTTAAACTTTTAGTAATTTAGCAAAAAAAAATCCTCACTAAAAAACCCACTGAAAATGGCTGGTAAACAATGAGAAAATTAAAACTTATTTCCAGCTTCTGTTGGTATCTTCAAAACCTGATTACCAGTGTTAATATACTGTACTAAGTTTGGGCACATTGTACAGTACCAAAAAAAGGAACCACTAAATATAACTTTAATAGTCAACAATAATGAAGGTGGCTTAACAAACTCATACAAATCTTGCATTGCACCATGTGCTGTAAGTAGCTAAAAAAAAGTTTACCATGTTCAATTTTCCATGTTATCTGGTTAACTTGAATCTTTACAAAAAAAAGGGGAGAAAGTGAGGTCTACTACAAAATACATGCTGCTGAGATTGTGTAACAAGTGGTGCCAAACCTTCAGAACACACCACACAGAGGGAAATACCTTTTGATTAGTTACTTAGTCCATTGCATGTTGATGCAGATCAAATACAGTACAGCTAGTGTTTAAACCAACTTGTGTTTTTAAAGGTGAGTTTGTACTGACCATCAATAACTTTGTATAGGATCACAGCTGCTGATCCTTATTAAAGAATGTAGTCTTATACAATCAAACTTCAACACAGAAGAGGCTAAACTCATGTTGAGGCTTCAGTGTTCACATCCTCTATATGTATACCAAGCAGTTCCATTTTCTCTTGTTCAATCTTTGCCCTGAGAGCTGTGGCTTTCTGGGAGAACTGCATGTAGCTGTCAATTTGTTCCAAGGTTGCCTCAAACTCTTTCACCAAGAGCTGGATGCCATCGTTCAAAAACTCTGTTCTGTCGTTGTCAACCTTTCTTTTTCTGGTTGATTTGTCACACTGGAGCATACAAGGGAGGTTATCAATGGAACATACAAGGGAGGTTATCAATGGAACATACAAGGGAGGTTATCAATGGAACATACAAGGGAGGTTATCAATGGAACATACAAGGGAGGTTATCAATGGAACATACAAGGGAGGTTATCAATGGAACATACAAGGTTATCAATAAAATATTGTAAAATTATGACCAAAGGTAAAACAGCTTTTTGCCTAAGTCCTTCAAACTAAAATTATTTTACTGCCCTTTTTTTTAAAGAAACAGGTTATTTTACCTCGTCAAGTATTGACCTCAGATCTATTGCTGGCCTTTGTTGAAGATTAGATGAAGGTGAGGCCTCTGGTTCAAACTGTTTCGTTAGCTCGTCAATTTCCTTCATTACGTCAAAATGTGGCCAAACGATGGTGTGCTCACCCGCTATAAATGCCTTGAAGCGATTTGTTTGATAGCTTGATGTTGCACAAAGAAATAAAAAAACAATCAGACACTTAGCAATTTTTTGTTTCAAATTAATAAAATCGTATCAAAATAACTTAATTTAAGCTAGGTTTAAAGTTTTTTAAAATATCGCTGTTTTAAAAAAAATTAAATTTTTTAATCTGATGAAAAAGCATGGTGGTATTTATGGATGATCCTTTAGTGATATGTCAAAAGAGAACCTACACAAGAAGAATAAAATACTATGATGAGATCTGCCTAATAAAGATCTGTTCATCAATAAGTTTTTAACACAACCAATTTTTATATTTTTTCCATCTTGCTTCTAATGAAATCTTTATTCTAAAAAAACTTTTTAGTACAAATTAAATATATTACAAATAATGACCAAGTTCAAATATATATAAAAATCTGATAAACTTTTAAAGAAATGAGTGTGCAGAAAATATGAAAGAAATATATTTTGATTGGTTTATAAAATTTAACAGCTATAACTGTTACCTACAGATTACAAAGCTCTGTGTAATGTGTTTCACAGTCTGCAGCAGTAACATTGTGTCCACTTTTGGTCATGACACTAGCAACATCTGCCCATGATGAGTCGCCAGTTGGGATACACTGCTCAGCCATATCCATTTTGGTTTTTAAAAGCAGCTTTGTTTGGTTGTAGGTCCATTCTGAAAACAAGACATTTTGATCAACCTGCAAGCTATATCTATACATTTAAAAAATTCAAGATTGTTTTACAAGTTTATATATTTATTTTTGTTTGTTTGTTGGCATTGCTTAATCAGAGCATCTGCACTATGTGTAGAACTTTAAAATATGTATTTATGTAGATATTCTTATTTCCTTTTTCACAATATTATGTTACACATAAATTTGTTTAAAGACGTATTCACATGTGAATATAAACATTTAAATATACAACCTGAAGACAAATACTTTATTTACTAAAAAACTAGAAATAAGCTTTTTCTTTGATCTTAGGAAGAGCAGTCTTAAACAAAAATTAATGAGTTAAAAACAACCTAAAAAGTATAAAAACATAATTAATAATTGAGTTTTTTTACTAAACTATTTCAGGCCTTACATATAATGGCAGATGTTAAACTAGGATATAATTCAATTTTCAATAATATTTGGTGCAATTTTACTTTATGGTTTAGAGTGGCCTGTCTTATTAAAGAGAGTAAAATAATTTACATTTTCACCACAGTCATTTGTGTAGTTCTGGTGAGAAGTTAGCCTGCCAGCTGAACTATCATTCAGTGGTACAAAACCCATGCAGTCATAGTCATTTTTAAAATAATTTCTTTAACATAATTTATTAGATGGTAACTTTAATTTTTCATGACTATTATTATTAGGTTCCAACAGTTTTTGATACAACACATTTAGATTGGCTGGTGGTCAGTTAACATTAAATGTTGGAACAGCATTAAACAACGTAAAAGTAGTACCAAACTGAATAATGATCATTAGGTTAGGTAAAAATTATTTTATTTTTAACATTGCATTATAAAAAAAAAATCTTACCAACTGAAACTTTATTTTGTAGTGTCTTCTCCTCAGTGGATGATGCAGCATGGTTGGAAACAGAGCCAGAATCTAGTGTCTCAATAGCGGCACCAGGGAAGATTTCAGTACCTCCAGCATTTGCTTCCTCTTTCACAATAATAATTTTATACCTCGTATCATTCATATCAATAACATAGACCTGATCACTTTCAGGGTATTCACTTTTAATTTTCTTTGACTCTGGCTGAGAGTCTATCTGGTCAAATTCTACCATCTGATCAGCATCGGACTGTGGCTCTACTTTGATATTTATAATCTGGTCTTCGCTTGTTAGCTCAGATGGGTTCAGCAACTCAATGTGAAAGTTTGAAGGGTCCAGGATTTGAATTTCATTAAGTTCTGGTTCTTCTTTGACTACAGCTGTAGCCATTTTCTGAAAAAAGATGCTGTATTTTAATGACGCCAAGAGGGACAGTTCGGTAGAGAAATACCTAATTAGTAATTAAAGCAGTAGGTCACTTTAGAAACAGGGAATCTTGTGATTTTAAGACACATTTGATTTTTAATGAAGTAGTTATAGAAGGTCCGTTGCCTAAAAAATAATTCTATATAGCTTACGCCTACCTATAAATATAAAAATAAGCTAATTTGAATATTTAAATTTAATACTTTACTTAGGTCTAAAACTCTAAAAGCAAGGCCTAAGGAAAGTCAAAGTTAAGTTAGTCATTAGGCCTTGTCAGTACTAAACAGAGTTTCTTCCAGGCATCTCTTTGGGGAGGGGGGGGGGAGTGGAACAGAGCCCCACAGAAGAAAGTCCACCCCCCCCCCGAACAAAATGGAATTAATATAGAAAATATATACTTTTAACAGTGTCTGGCCCCTGGAAATTTTGATCCACCCCCTTCCACAAAAAAATGTTTCAAGTGCACACCCCCCACCCTTTGCTGAGAAAAAATTCTGGAAGAAACACTGGTACTGGTACCAGTCTAGGCCTAATTAGTAATTTAGTATGGACAGTTCTAAAATTAAAATTATTACTTATTTTATACTACAGAACAGGCCTAACACTAACAAGGCTGAGATCTAGAGTCTAGATCTAGATTCTAGATCTAAAATATTATTAGGATTACCGATTAAGCCTAGATCTAGAATCTAGGTCTGCTTATTAATTTTTTTTTTTTTTGCAATTTTACGAGGGTTTATGATTTTAACCCATATTCTGCTAGCGTCCCACTTATGGGACGCTTGGTAAAAAAATTGCTAAAATTTATTAAATACTAGTAAAAACACAAATTATGTTTCATTGTATTTGAAAATGGCTAAACTATTGAATTTGTGTGTGTTTTGTGAAAAAAATTAAATTAGAAAAATTTTATAGTGCCGGATTTGCAGGACTTGTCAAAATGGCGGAAAAAAGAAAACATGCGCACAGGATAATGCATATCTTCTAAAATATTAACATTTTAAGTGCAAAATACATTTGAAACTTGTAGCAGTACCATATTTCTATCTGATAAAAATTTAAAAATAACAATTTTTTTTTACTACTTCGTTATATCAAGTGTACAACAAGCGTCCCATAAGTGGGACGCTAGCAACGAATGGCCCCATGTAGATTGTTACACAAACGTCACATTTATTGGACACTAGCGAGAAACAAAGATGCAAATGTTTATGTTAAATGGTTATTTATGGTGAAACAATTGTTGACTTTGTTAATTGCTGAATTTGGGGTGTTAAGTAGTATGTATAGATATTTAATTATGACCTTGACCTATATTTATGCAGATTGTTACACAAACGTCACATTTATTGGACACTAGCGTGAAACACAGATGCAAATATTTATGTTAAATGGTTATTTATGGTGAAACAATTGTTGACTTTGTTAACTGTTGACTTTGGGGTGTTAAGTAGTATTTATAGATATTTAATTATGACCTTGAGCTATATTTTCTTATATATTATTGTATTAGAAAATTGCAAATATTGAAAAAATTACATTTTATTTTTAAGTTTTCAGAATTACACTTACTGAAGTATTTAATACCATTGAATACAAACTAATTTAGTATTGCTGTAAATTTACTTGCGCGTGATATTAAAATTATAACAAACCAGAATAATAACAATGGTCAAGATTTAGGTGAAACGATTCAGTCATGGGGGTTGGTTAACTCTCTTCATATAAGAGGGCTTAAGCTACATATAGCAGAAATGTGAATTAGCTGTGTACAGTTGTCATGCCCCAATAATATCCCCCTCCAAAGGTTACCGATACCAGCTTTACTTTGTTAACTTTTTAAGGAGATTCCTGGTGTTAGATTGGGAGCTGTTCGCATATTGAGGTGCATACATGGATGAGAGCCATGAACACTCAATACAAGCCCCCAGAGACGGATCCGTGCCCTAGAAATAAGATGTCTGATGTCCTAATGTACGCCTGTGGGGGGGGGGGGATAGCGAGGGTAACAAAAGAGAAGATGGCTGGATGACATCTGGGACTGGACCGGAACATCTTTTGCAAATTCACTAAGGGCAGAGTTTCTTTCAGGCATCATTTCGGAGGAGGGGGGGGGGGGGGGCTCTGCCCCCAGAAGAAAATGGAATTTATATACAAAACATACTTTTACCAATGTCCACCCTTCCCCTGAAATTTAAGTCCCCACCCCTGAAAATTTCAAGTACGCCCCCCAAAAAAATCAATTATTTATATTTAATTATATTACAGTTTCGATGAATAATAACAATATTTGTGATCATGTGTGTATAATTAGATGTACTAGTCACAGCTTTACTTATTTCCAAGTGTTGTTCACTTTGATGGATGCTAGATTGAAAGAAAACTAGACTTTTGAACATAATTTCTGCATTTTAGACCATGGTATGGCTAACCCAATTGATCATTATCAGTATTTTTAGCTGTCCTAAACAATTAAATCATTGGTCTAACAATACACAATCAGTACACAGCTTAATTTTCGCGTGATTAGCCATATTTCGTGAAAAATGATTTTATTTTTCAATAAATGTACATGGGGCCGTTCGTTGCTAGCGTCCCATTTATGGGACGTTTTTTAAAAAATCGATATTTAAAAAAGTATTGATTTTTTAAAAAAATCCATAGTCATTCCTTCATTCAGTGCCCAAAAGCTAAACCATATCAAAAAATTATAAAAATTTGAGACCTTGGGACCCAAGTTGGGATAATATGGGTTAAAAAAATTCTTTAGAAATTTTCTAAGCTAAATTTGTGTTAATTCGCTTTGGGCTTTTAAAAACGTGTGTGTGCTACAAAGAATAATATAGAATCTAGATCTAGGCCTACCTAAATATTAATTACTAACTAGATCTAGATCTTTAGATCTATTACAGTAAAACAGTACGAGTACGGCTGCAGTACAGCAACAAATTTCTATTTCTACTAAAAATTTAGAGTTATCGAACCTGATTAAAATTTACCTTTATGGGAGAATCAAAAGAAACGAAATAAGAAATAGAAATGTAAAATAGATAGATTAGACCCGTGGTCTACAATAGATCGATATATTAGACAGGACGTTGTCAGTAAACTTGTTAGTCATTATCAAGTAGGCTGGATTCTAAATGTTTATAAAATACATTCATAATTGAATTGAATTTGACAGTAATAAAAATATGGTGAGGTGATTGATTTGAATATCATGAATTCTATTGTCTACCTAAGCCACGCTGATTAATAAGCAATAGGCCTTATAATGAGAAATAATCTCGATGACCTTCTTAGACTATATGATATAATTATAGGTTCTAGTCAGTTGTTTCTCTGTTATTTTATTTGGTATATGCGATGAATTTAACAAGGGCTCAAAGTAAAATCCTGTCTAAATCCTCATTATTAATTATAACCTAACGCTGTTATAGGCCTATATTTGTGTCTAATTGACATTGTACTTTCTTTCTTTAAAACCGAACAGATTACTGTAAAATAAAGAAAATGCTAGTCGTCATATTTTTTTATTAAGCAAGAATAATTTAACACGATAACATTAAGGCCTAGATCTAGAATCTACATGTTTTGTACAATGTAAAATATGAATCGGAAGTCTAATAATTTTGTGTTCTTTACGGGAATTCCCGAAATAACTTGTGACATTCTTGTGGACAGGTGAAGTAGCTATCTGATACTGCTGACGAGAAATAAGTAATCCGAAAGAGAATTGATTGTATGTAAATTCTTACTTAAGTTACCTTTTAAACAGAACTCATTTCAGTATAATATATATATATATATATATATATATATATATATATATATATATATATATATATATATATATATATATATATATATATATATATATATATTAGAGAATACATTTTATTTCGTAATTATGTCGCTGAAATCTTGATTGGATTGCTCAACACTTACACTAGAGACACTACCATAGGCTACTAACATAGCAATGGTAGCCTTTTATAAAGCGGAGATCTTCCCTAAACTTTCTCATATTTTTATAAAACAGTAAGGTGGCTGGCACATCCAATGTAATCGTGCACTAGAAAGGTTTTTTTTTATTTTTACTATCTCGTATACGAAGTATAGAGTAAGTAGGCCTACTACTGTAATCTTGCATAAAATCGAATATCGAAGTTTTAAACCTCCCTGGTTTAAAAAAAAACTTAGTGTTTGCAGTTTTGGCTGTGTGTCTGTCTTTGTGTCTGTCATCTCGGTTACCGGAAATCGCTCAAAAGTTGGTACAGAATGACAAATTTGATATGATACTTATATATTAAATTTCATCAACATACGCAGTGCGCCAAGTGATGTATTTTTGTTGTTGCGTACAGTGAAAACGACGCACTTGTAAAATAGAGGCTAATCGTATTTTTATTCTGTTTTCCACAGTTGAGCAAATTGCAACAATTCATTAAAATTTTAAGAAGAAACCACTGAAGCTGCCTTTAAAAACAAGACATTACAATGTAATAATGTAATAAGCTACATGAGTAGGATGAGAACATATAACATATTGATGAATAACATGACTTCAGTTACAAAATGTGGCCTAGCGGTAGAGCACTTGACTGCCAACCCGAACGACTCAAGTTTGAACCCGGTTTGAAGTCAACAGAACGTCCCTGAGTCCACTCAGCTCTGTTGTGTACCTAACTCACGTTAGGGAAGGCTTATGGTTGATCACACTATCTCTTCATATGCTGCGGTCACATAAATAGGTGAACTCTACTTCACTTTCCCCATAGACCACCAGGTTTGAAGGGAAACTTTACTTTACTTACAGTTATAAAATAAACAACCCATATAAGACTACAATGGCGAATCTAATAAAAGACGACGAGCCAACTAGAGCAGATCGGGACATAAGCGGGGACACAGATTTGCACATAGCAGTAAAAAACAACAACCCTGAAACAGTACACCACCTTATACAATGCGGAAGGAATGTGAACGAAAAAAATAACAACGGCGACACGCCTATATCTCTAGCTTCTAACCTAACAATAGCTCAGTATTTGATAAATGCAAAAAGTGATATTAATTTACGAAACAATTTGGGTGAAACTTCATTGCACTGTGCTGTTCGTTGTGAACACGAAGACGTGGTTCGTCTTTTAGTTGACAATGGCGCAGAAATTGACTCTAAAAATAACTCAGGGGAAACGACTCTCATGTACGCTATTCAAGCTCAAAATTTGACACTGGTTCAGTATTTAGTTGATCAGGGAGCAAATGTTAACATTCAGGACTGTTATGGAAGAAACGCTTTGATGCACGCGATCACATGCGGAAGTCCCTACACCTCAGATGTTATAGTTCTACAAACAGTATACGATGCCAGATTTGAAGAAAACGTGTGCGAATATCTTATAGCAAGAGGAGCAGAAGTGAATGCCAAAGACGTCAACGGCCAAACTGTTTGCATGTTGGCAGTTAATAAAGACCCTCACAGACTTCTGCCTAAACTAGTCTCTCTGGGAGCAGATCTAAATCTTCTAGACAACGAAAAAAGATCCGCGCTTGTCTACAGGCTGATGAACAAAGAACTACAGACAATAGGTTTTTATGGCAGAATTTTAGACCTCGGCGCCGATCCGGTAATTCACGAGAACTACCGTCATTTAGTAAAAGAAATAACTTTTGACAGAGAGCTATGCTACTACGATTCTGAAATGATATGGAACAACAAAACGATACTTATATTTCAGTTTCTACTTATGAATGGGCGTGTCCACGATCACGCTTGCCCGGAATTTTTCAAAAGGTGCTGTTCATCTAATATTAGCTGTGCCATTTCTAAATCCAACCTGAACTTGGTCAAATTTTTATTTGCCACCGGTTTTCTCTTTAGGTCGGATCTGGTTTGTTTACGTCCAGCTAAAAATAGCTATGACCTTGCGGATGACCTTGTGGGTGAGTTTCAAAGCAGCACGTCCGTTTCACCACGCGATTTACAAGCGGCTTGGCTTGGACTAGACAGCACCATAGCGCCATATTTATATTTTGAATTACGAAGAGCTATGCGAGAACCCTGGCCACTGGTCAAACTTGCTTTTATTGAAGTCTCCACCTTACTTGGGACTGGACCTATGAGAGAAGAAAAACTAAAACAGACCAAACTCCCACCAAGATTACAGCGAACGTTGATGTTTCAAGAACCAATATCAAGATTACCTGTAGAAGACTGGTCTAAAATACCTCTTTGTTTTGACCCAGTACAGTACGAGACTTTACCCTGTCCTAGACCTTTACTCTACTACTGGCCTGTTGGTCATAGGCTCGTTAACTGAATATTTTTAATAATTTGAGTTTTTTTAATGTAAATATTAAACTAATCTTTATAAAGCAGACGCTTGCAATTTTAAAATATGTGTATATCTCTGCGTATGTGCAGGAGTAGGCCCCTACATGCGAAAATATAATTAAACAACCAGTGTATGAAATTTTGGATTGCAAGCCCCCAGTTGGCATACCTGTTACGGGAATTCCAGGTATTACATTACACTCCTTGGAAGAATCTATGTTGTACACAAAGCCTACATGCTCAAGTTAAAGATCAACAATAAAACCGCGTTGCAAAATTATACAACAAAACAGGATGTAAGTATGTATTAAGGTTTACACGTAATTTACATTTAAATAGGACGGAGAACAATTTTATGTAATATGCTGTTACACGACCTAACACCTCTCTCTTTATGTTCGTTGTAAAATCGATTATGGGACGGACGCCATCTTGAAACCGCCTACTTTTGTCCGCATTAACAGTTCACGTTTCCTAAAGCATTGTTTCTGTTCACATTGAAAAAGGGGTAAATAAAATCACTATACACATATCCCTGTATTGTTTTTCCGTATTTAAAATATAGGTTGCTTTATGCAATGAAAACAATTTAGCGGACCGTACGTGGGGTAATATAACAATTAGTATAAATAATAACTATATTGATAATGTCAATGTGTCTCTCTCCCTCTCGTTATATATATATATATATATATATATATATATATATATATATATATATATATATATATATATATATATAATATATACATGCCTATATATATATATATATATATATATATATATATATATATATATATTTACATCTATATATGCCTATATATATATATATTTATAGGCATATATATATATATATATATATATATATATATATATATATATAGGCATATATATATATATATGTAAATATATAAGCTTATAAATAAATATATATATATATATAGGCATATATATATATATAAATATATAAGCTTATATATATATATATATATATATATATATATATATATATATATATATATACATATATATATATATATATATCTTTACATCTATATATGCCTATATATATATATATATATATATATATATATATATATATATATATATATATATATATATATATATGTATAAAAAGCAATGTATGTTTGTGTGTGTGTGTGTGTGTGTGTGTGTCTGTTTGTTTGTCCTTTATGCATTACTACACCTCTCATCACATCGCCGTGAAACTTTGGGAAGTTGTTGAGAATATTCCTGGGGAGGTTTCTGCGAAAAAAAAAAAATTCCAATTTGTTTTTCTCTATATACGATATATAAAAATAATAAAAGTAAATTGCAGTGACACCGTTCACACGATCGCCATGAAACTTTGGAAAGATGTTGAGAATACTCCTGGGGAGGTTTTTGCGCAAAAAACATTTTTAAATTCGTAGGGGTGACGCCCCGACAGGGCGCGATTTGTTTTTCTCTATATACCGTATATAAAAATAAAAGTCGATTTTGGTTTGGCATCGTTCATCCGATACCCATGAGACTTTGGGGAGTTCATTATACCACTCTAGGAAAGGGTCCTGTAAAAAAAAAAATTTTTAATTTCGCAAGGGTGGCGCCACGGGAGGGTCCGATTTTTCTCTATGTACAGTATATAAAAATAAAAGTCTATTCCGGTTTTACACCTTTCATCCGATCGCCATCAAACTTTGAGAAGTTGATTAGAACACCCCAGGGAAGAGTTCTTTGAAAAAATCATTTTTATTTTCGCAAGGGCGGCGCAACAGGAGGGTGCGATTTTTCTCTATATACGGTATATAAAAATAATAAAAGTGAATTGCAGTGACACCGTTCATCCGATAGGCATGAAACTTTCGGGAGTTCATTATAAAACTCTACGAAGGGTTCTGTAAAAAATCATTTTTAATTTCCCAAGGGCGGCGCCACGGGAGGGTGCAATTTTCTCTAAATACAGTATACAAAAACAAAAGTCGATTTTGGCGTGTGACACCGTTATCCAATAGCCATGAGACTTTGGGGGAGTTGATTAGAACATTTCAGGGAAGGGTTCTGTAAAAAAAAATCATTTTTATTTTCGCAAGGGCGGCGCCACAGGAGGGTGCGATTTTTCTCTTTATACGGTATATAAAAATAAAAGCCTATTTCCGTGTGACACCGTTATCCAAAAGCCATGAGACTTTGGGGGAGTTGATTAGAACATTTCAGGGAAGGGTTCTGTAAAAAAAAAAATCCTTTTTTAATTTCGCAAGGGCGGCGCCACGGGAGGCTGCGATTCTTCTCTATTTACGGTTTATAAAAATAAAAGTCTATTTCGGTTTCACACCGTTCATCCGTGTACCGTGAAACTTTGGGGAGATGATTAGATAACTCAATAGTAGGGTTCTGCAAAAAAAAATATTGTTAAATATTGCAAGGGCGGCGCCCTCCGGGGGGGTGGGGATTTTTTTTTCTCTATACACGGTATATAAAAAATAAAACTCGGATGCGGTTCATCCGAGTGCCATGAAACTTTAGGGAGTAGATGAGAATACTCCAGAGAATCTTTCTGCGAAAAAGAAAACTAAAGTTTCTTATGGGCAGCGCCATATAGGGTACAACTTTCGTCAATACACGGTTTGGCGCCCAGAGTTTTAAAGCGACGATGTTGGCACTTGGCATCCGTTAATCGAGCGTCCTGCATAGCGAGTAACGGGTACTACTATATTCAGCGGTAAAACTACAACAGGCTTCTAAAAATAACTTTGTAACGCGAGGAAATCCTTCTGTACAGTTTCGTCACGTTGCGAAAGATGGAAAAATAACTTTTCGAATATGAGGAGCCTACTGTAGAGTTTCGTCACTTTGCGAATGATGCAATAAGCATCTATTATTAAACAATCCAGTCAGAAATTGAGATCGGGCATCGAATAATAGTCCATTAGTAACGCTAGCATATTGCATCAGTCACAATGATATTTAAAACACGTCAAATAATTTTTTTACATGTTAAAGAAAAAAATAATGTTCATTTGTGTCACTTTAGCAAATGACGAAATCTGCATCATTATTAACAGGATGCTATTTGGCACGATGGCGCCTGTTAGTTTTAAGGAGCCAGGGGTAGTACGCCGCGCTTATGAGGTAGTGTAATCGGGGGGGGGGGGGGGGGCTGAGAGCGCCCCTGTACGTCTCTGACACATGGGCGGTCACCGAAGTCTGTTCTAACATATTATTTCGGTGAGTGATTAATGTACACTCAATGTTTACATGCGGTAGTGTAGGTAAACCTGTGTCCCAATATTTATGATGTAAGCGCAGGCATTGTTTACATTTAAATAACTCACTTTTAGAAAAGACGGTCACGCGTCTAAGAACATATAATTGGTGACGCGTTGGTGAAATCTTTCTAATACATTTCGTCATACTTTCTTCTCTCGCCGCGGCAACGCGCGGGGGACGGGTACGCTAGTATGTATATATATATATATATATATATATATATATATATATATATATATATATATATATATAAAGCAATGTCTGTGTGTGTGTCTGTGTGTGTGTCTTTTATGCATTACCACACCTCTTATCACATCGCCGTGAAACTTTGGGAAGTTGTTGAGAATATTCCTGGGGAGGTTTCTTCGAAAAAAAAAATTTCAAATTCGCAGGGGTGGCGCCGCGGCAGGGCGCGATTTGCTTTTTTCTATATACGGTATATAAAAATAAAAGTCGATTTTGATTTCACACTGTTTATCCGATAGGCATGAAACTTTGGGGAGTTGATTAGAACACTCTAGGGAAGGGTTCTGTACAAAAATCATTTTTAATTTCGCAACGGCGGCGCCACGGGAGGGTGCGATTTTTCTCCATGTACGGTATATAAAAATGATAAAAGTGAATTGTCGTGACACCGTTCACACGATTACCATGAAACTTTAGGAAGTTAATGAGAATATTCCTGGGGAGATTTCTGCGAAAAAGAAATATTTCAAATTCGCAGGGGTGGTGCCCCGACCCGACGCGATTTTTTTTCTATATACGGTATATAAAAATAAAAGTCGATTTTGGTTTGGCAACGTTCATCCGATAGCTGTAACGGTACTCAAGTTATCGTGTTTACACACACACACACACACACACAGACAAACACACAGACATACGGAAAAGATTGCAAAATTATGTTTTTCCGTATCAGTGAGGTGTAAAACGTCGAGATTTGTAAAAATCTCGATTTTTTTTTTGCACGATTACAAGACTTTCTCTATACTTCGTATATACGAGAATGTAAAAATGTGAATGCAAATTCTGCGGACGTGCAAGGGGAAATTATTGTTAGATTATTATAATTAGCATAAATTGATAAAATTATCACCGTGGTTGGTAAAATACGGATATTTTAAATATTGCATTTTGTTTATTTTATAGATAAGTAGGGGTAATATAGTCGTTTGCTAAATTGAATCAGGAGGTTCCGCCAGCGCCCCGGCCGAGTGCAGTACAGCGCCCCGGGCTTGACGGTGAACACTATGTGTTTATGTTTAGATTATGTTATACGTTTGCCTAAATGGAAATTATCTATATGCAGGCGAGCTTTTATTTATTTATTTTTTTAGTAAATATTCCAGAATTTTTAAGGCATCTCTTAAGATGAAAAAACAAGGCGTCATTTTCCTCTACACAACATCTAGACTGTGAATTACTTGTTGTGATGGTATACAATACTATCCGGTGCTGCTGTTTTCAAAGATTCTTTCGGAAAATGTTGCTGTACTACTGAATATTTTTACACATAAAATTAAATGTGCAAAACATTTCCAAGAAAATGCAACTGTATCATGATTACATAAGTGTGCGTCACATCAAAATACTATAGAGTATAACGTAAACTACAGCTACGATTTCGTTGACGACCATTGGTATTATATGATTATTTTCTTTTATTAATTTTGTAAAAAATCCAAGCAATTTACATGTAATAGTTTCTCCATTTCAGATTTACAGAAAAGAAGAACCTTTACTTGTTCTCTTCATGTCAGCATAATAAATAGCTTAAGAGAATGAGTCGCCATATATATGACCACGAGATCTATAGAGCTGCTCAACTCGGAAACATTGAACCACTTTATATTGACTCAATCAATATTAGAAATAGATACGGTCTAACTGCACTGATGATATCTGTGGCTGATAATAATGTGCTGGCATTAAAAAGGCTGCTATCTGCAGGTGCTAACATTAATCTATCAAAGAACAATACCAGTTGCATCACAGCACTGACCATAGCCGTAAAAAAAAACAGAATTGAATGTGTGAAGGAACTGATCAGGGCTGGAGCTTTCTTTAACTGCGAGCGAGGATTGGAGGCTTTAAAGATGGCGAGGGATCACAACTTTTTGGATGCTGTAGTGGAAGGGGATGATGCTATGAAAAAAATTATAAAACATGATTCTGATCAATGAGGAACCGCATCTTATGTAGCTTTCAAGAACAATTGTTTTAATTTACTCATCACGTTAGTAGACTCGGGAGTTCCTTTAAGATCATTAACGTACGAAGATATGACAGAAAATAAAAAGATGACTACATTGCTTCTGAAATCAGCTAAAATAACTCTTAACGAAAAAGTAGGAGATGGGAAGACTCTACTAAAACAAGCCATACGATTAAAAGATATACAGTTTTTAAAATTTCTGATAGAAAATCACGTCGATCTTAATATTGCCGATTCCGCCGAAAACACATGTCGTGATGGTAAATTTGCATTAGTAAACGTACTTCTGGCTGGGGCTAAAATGGAAGCGGTAAGCTGCTCTTATACAGGGGCGTAGCGAGGGGGGGGGGGCGGGGGGTGCGGACCGCACCGGGTGACACCATTTAGGGGGGTGACACCAAGGCAAAAAATAGCAAAATATATAGAGAAAAACTCGAGGGGGGGGGGTGCAAATCGAAAGTTTGAGGGGGGGGTGCAAATCGAAAACTTGAGGGGGGGGGGTGCAAATCGAAAGTTTGAGGGGGGGGGGGTGCAAATCGAAAATTCGAAAGTTTGTCCCTGGCAAGGGTCTCTATGCCTCTGGGGGGTGACACCATTAAGTGCCGCACCGGGTGACACCCGACCTCGCTACGCCACTGCTCTTATATAGAAGCCATGAAATCGCTTATAACGTCAATCGCTGATATCAACCTTGTTGACGAAGACGGCAGTACATTACTTATAAAAGCTGTTCAATCAAAACAAATTGAGATCGTCAACTTTCTTATAGAAAAGAAAGTAAATATCGACCAAGCAGATGATTCTCAGAGTACAGCTCTTCATTATGCCTGCAGTTCAAATAATCTGGAAATAGTAAAATTACTTGTGAATGCAGGAGCTAAAGTTGAGGGCTATAATAATGAAAGTTCGACTCCTTTCTCTGAGGCATGTAAGACATCAAATATAGACATGATGAAGCTTCTTATCAAGGCAGGCTCGGATATAAATTGTGTAGATACTTATCAACGAACGCCTCTAATAAACTATATTAAGGAAGGAGATCACAGCGAATTTCTCATGAACTCTATTATAGAACGTAACTTTGCCACCACACAATTTTTGTTAGAACATGGAGCTGATATTTCAAAGGTGGACATAGACGGAATGACAGCCTTAATGTGGGCAGCTAAAATAAATAACGAAAACTTCCTCGATCTTTTGCTTGATTTTAAACCAAAGGTAAACTGTGTTGACCTACAACAGATGACAGCATTTGCTTATGCGGTGATGAGCCTTAACGTAAAGATGGTGACCAAGTTGATACAAGCTGGAGCTGATGTTAACATCGCGTCTAATTGTCAAGTCAAATGCAATAAAAAATTTGATGTTTTTAATACTGTAAAATATTTAAATGAAATGCATGTAAAAGTGATAAAACCTTCTAATGGTAAAAACACACCGCTACATATAGCTATATCGGGATGTCGGGGAAGAAACAGCAACATGATTATTGACTTACTGTTAAAATCTGGAGCCAATGTAAATGCAGTGGATGAGAATGGTAGAACACCTTTACATTTGGCAGCTTGTATAGGAGATCAATCAATGGCAGAAGCTTTGATTCGACGTGGTGCCAAAATAAATGTTGTGGATAATTTCGGCATCTTCCCACTCCATATTTCAATACTGTACAAATACCACGAGTTAACCCAATGTTTGATTGAGGATTATAGAGGTTTATTTTATCTTAACCGTGATTCTCTAAGCTCGTCTTTATACCTTGCTGTATTGTATGATGATACAAGTCTTGTAGAAAGTTTGTTCAACCATGGCGCACGTGTTAAGAAAGGCAGCGGTGCGGAGCTGCTGATTTCACTAGAACATGCAAATTATGACGTCACATTAGATTTACTAGAACATGGAGCTGACGCTAATGTCAAAGATAGTGACGGAATACCAGCACTATTGAAAGCTATCAGAATTGCAAGTCCTGATTCATCAGTGACTAGAGCAAATGCATTTGGTTTAAACCGTCTAGCTTCTTTATCTGGTAATGGTCTTATGTTAAAACATAACTACGCAAAATGGTATACGTGTTCGTTTGATTTATTTAACTCATTTCTAGATAACGGAGCTAATGTTTCAGCTACTGACAACAAAGGTAACACCTGTCTACACGCAGCGGCTAAGTTTTGTGGCAATAGTAACTTGCAGTTGTTTGTAGCCTACGAAGCTGAGGTCAATGTCCAGAACGCAAAAGGTGAGACGCCGTTAATGAAAGCGTGTCGTCGTGGTAATGTTGAGGCTGTCAGGTATCTTCTTTTTGTTGGAGCTGATGTTATGTTGGTGAACGAAAACCGGGATACAGCGCTGCACCACGCAGTGATTTCTGCCAGAAGAGAAAACCATGTGAAAATGGTTGTATCTACTACAAATGCTTACGTAAAAAGTAAGACTTCTGATATTGTTGAAATGCTAGTGGGTTTGGGAATTAACATACACGCCCGTAATAGAGAAGGTAACACTGCTTTACATTTAGCAGTCAAGTATGATGTCTGTCTCTTGACAATTTTATTGATAAACCTTGGGGCGAACGTAAACGAAAAAACAACGATGGAGACACACCTCTTTTCTTTTTGAAAAACCACAAAGTAATCAGTTACCTACTTGATGCTAAAGCCGATATCAATATAAGAAATAATCGAGGTGAAACAGCTTTACATCGTGTCTACGATGTCGAAATAGCACGTGCATTATTGGACAGGGGTGCAGAGATGATTATTTCAACAGAAGGACAAACAGCACTCATGTACGCTGCAACTTCTGATAACTTCGAGCTGGTTCAACTGTTAATAGAGCGAGGTGCAAATATCAATGTTCAAGATAATGAAGGAAGAAATTGTTTAATGAAAGCATTGAGGAGATGTAGACAATTTAACTATGATATTTTAAAATTTCTTATAATGAGTGGAACAGATGTTAATGCAAGTGACAAAACGGGCCAGACTGCCTGTATGCTAGCCGTTATCAACGATTGTTTTGTGATTGTAACTACACTCCGAATGTTTGGGGCTGATTTGAACAAAGTGGATAAAGAAAACAGATCTGCTCTTGTTCATGTTTTATTAAACAATCGCATAGATAGAATGAGTTATATTATGGAAGTTTTAAAACTAGGAGCTGACATTGTGGTCGATAGTCAGTACAGATATTTAGTTCAATCTGTGACAAAAGAATTCGAAGATACAACAATAACAAGCGTAAGGTCACCACGAATATTTCAGTTTTTTGTGTTAAACGGGTGCATTTTGAATCAGACGAAGGAATCCACTAAAAGAAACGAAACTTCAATGTTTTATCACCCCATTAATAAAATCAGTTTAAAAAATTTAGATTTTATAAAATACATTTTCGCCATCGGTATGATATTCAAGTCAGACTTACAATTGCTACGAAAGTTAGAAAAAGATTGCTCTATGTACCCTGACTTCCGGAAACATATATTAGCGGTTTTAAAACCGGCTTTGCAGGAACCCTGGCCACTGGTCAAACTAGCTTTTATTCAAGTCTCCACCTTAATTGGGACTGGACCTATGAGAGAAGAAAAACTAAAACAGACCAAACTCCCACCAAGATTACAGAGAACGTTAATGTTTCAAGAACCAATATCAAGATTACCTGTAGAAGACTGGTCTAAAATACCTCTTTGTTTTGACCCAGTGCAGTACGAGACTTTACCCTGTCCTAGACCTTTACTCTACTACTGGCCTGTTGGGCATAAGCTGGTTATCTGATGTTTTTTTTAAAAATATAATTTAAAAAAAAACATTTTCTGCTACAATGAGCTGTTAGTTTTAAGGTCTAAATTTAACAGAAAAATTATTTAGATTTTTAGTGGATAAACTCTATAATTCTGAAATTATTCTGTAATGTAACTCTCTCTATATATAAACGTTTTTCTATCACTGAAACTACGATTAAATATATTCATAAGCGTCAGCGTATTACGTGAACGTATAAAGATATAATTAATGATCAAATGAAAAAAAATACATTATTGTAATTATCATTAGTTATTATTAGTTTGCTTATCATTATTAGCATTTTAATTATTATAAAATTATTTCCAACATGTTATAACTATTTCTACCATTAATATCATTCTGAATTTATTTTTTTTCTTATTTTTTTTTTTTGGCCTCAGAAATGTGATTTTTCAGCGTCAGTTTTCTTTAACATGTTTACTTTACTATTACAGTTTTTATCAACGGCTTATGAGGAATGATACAGATTTACAATAGTAATACTTCTTCCTGAAATGTACTTTCATTCATTTAATATGGTTTACTATAACATAATACAAAACGTCTTATTATAATTTTATTTTTAAACTTCACATTGTATTTGGTGATTCAATGTTCTATTAAAAAAAAGGTAAAATTTTTTAAAAAGTCCAAAAAAAGTAAAAGGGCAATTTTTTAAAATTATCATTCTTAATTTGTATTCTTCATTTTGTTCACTCATCAAATCTGCATTTATGTTTATAGCTATATAAAATAAGTGTTTTACTATAATCATAGAAAAACTTTTTTTTCTTTTTTTTTGACTTATTATTAAAAATTATTTTATGTTAATATTGCAGTCAATCGTTATAAATTATTCATTTTTTGGCTGTATTTTTTAATGTGACATATTCCATTGACTTATAACGCTATAAGCTGTTGACACTCCAGTTAGATATATTAGAACAACGAAACTACCAGCAAAGTGCTAACTAGGCTTTGATGTTAGTGTCATGAGACTGTTAGACGAAAAAAATGTTCACGGTAGACATGTTAATTTGCTTACGAATGTTCGTAATGTTTTAAACGAATACTCGGAAATAAATAAAAGTAAAATTTAAAAATTAGCCTTTTATTACGAGAAGTAGAATTCATCTGCTTCTCTAACCTCGCTATATGAACAGAGTGTGGGGTCAGTTATTTGCCCAGACGCCTTAACTTTTCTTATTGTGAGTCAGGTGCCCAGCAGAGTTGTCTAAACTCACGATCAGTGTGTCTTCCAGACTTTTTTCTGCGGGGGGGGGGGGGGGGGGGCACTTGAAATTTTCGGGGGGGGGGGGGGTGGTAGACTACTTTCTTCGGGGGGGGGGGGGGGATGGGGCTTTGTCCCCCCACCCCCAAAGAGATGCCTGGAGGAAACTCTGCTCAGGATCTGAACTTACTTTAGTGTTAACAGTCGTGGGCTCTACTTCTCAGCCACGATGCCCTATACTCACATAATAAAAAAATACTCTTATTTTAAAAAAAAAATTAAACACCAATTATCACGAGTACGTACTGTAAAGAATATTGATAGCTAGCGGTCTTTTTAATTGTTTTAAATTATATTCTGTCTACTAAATCCGTTGAATAACGGTCTCTCGTTGATAAAATACTCGTTAATTGTTTATTTGTTTTCGCTGTAAAAGAAAAATAAATAACAACAGCAACAAAGACTATCATCTGCTTCTAAAACTTAGCGAAGTAAAGTAAGTCAAAGAGTTCCAAACTGAAATAAAATAAACCGGGAGTGATCTCCCCTAAACTTTCTCGAATATTCTTATATAAAACAACAGGGGATGGGAACTCGGGATATAGTTATGATTTTTAATCCATTTTAAATACTTAAACTTTTAAAAATAGAATAGAATCTCATAGAAAAAGAATTGCGCACCAAGCGAACGCCGAATAAAGATGTGTATAATAGTGCAGAATATTATTAGTACTTTATAAATTCACATGCGTTTTTTGAGAAATCGGAAATAGTGAAAATTACTACTTCCGGTCAACAGAAATTACTCAAAATTTGATAGAAGGCAGAAAATTAGATCTTTTACTTACGTGTGAAATTTCATTTATCTATCTGGAATATTTATAGGCTTTTGAAAAATTAAAAATAGAAAAAGTTCCACTTCCGGTTATCGGAAATCGCTCAAAAGTTGAAACGGATCTACGATTTCGATATAATACTTATATACGAAATTTCATCAACCTGGCTGTATCGTTACTCAAGTTATCGTGTTTACACAAACACACAGACACACACATACACACACACACAGACATACGGACAAGATTGCACAGCTATGTTTTTCCGACTCAGGGAGGTGTAAAACGTCGAGATGTGCAAAAATCACGATTATTTTTTTGCACGATTTCAATACTTTCTCTATACTTCGTATATACGAGAAAGTAAAAAGACAAATATGATTTTTATCATAATACGATATTTTACGCTACAGCCTTTTCAGTTCTGAATTATTCGCTATTTGATTCGGTCGTATTTTTTGTTCATCATTTCTTCACTTCTAATCACAAATCAGGCTTTATTAATTATATTTTTGCCACATCATGTATAATATAGTAGCCTTTAAGTTTTATACCTCAGTTTAAAAACGTTTGCAATATCTAAGCTACGCTAACATGACACATGTATGAAATGAATTACAATATATGCAAGAACCCTGGCCACTGGTAAAACTAGCTTTTATTGAAGTCTCCACGTTACTTGGGACTGGACCTATGCGAGAAGAAAAACTAAAACAGACCAAACTCCCACCAAGATTACAGCGAACGTTGATGTTTCAAGAACCAATATCAAGATTACCTGTAGAAGACTGGTCTAAAATACCTCTTTGTTTTGACCCAATACAGTACGAGACTTTACCCTGTCCTAGACCTTTACTCTACTACTGGCCTGTTGTGCATAGGCTCGTTAATTAATATATCTTTAATAATTTGAGAATATTTTTTAAAATGTAAATATTAAACTAATCTTTATAAAGCAGACGCTTGCAATTTTAAAATATGTGTATATCTCTGTGTATGTGCAGGAGTAGGCCACTACATGCGAAAACATAATTAAAAAACCAGTGTATGAAATATACGATCGTATTCCCATAGTTGGCCTACCTGTTACGGGAATTCCAGGTATTGCATTACACTTCCTGGAAAAGAATCTCTGTTGTACACAAAGTCTACATGCTCAAGTTAAACAATCAGATCACTAAACAAATTAAAAAGCAATTACTTCTCTTAATTATTATTTTTTTTTAAATATATAATAAAGAATGACATAGTATAAAAAGGAAATGTATTAAAAACTAATAATATAAATACAAAAATTTTTAAAATAAACATAAGGCGAGAAACCATTACACATACAAAGCTTTCATGCTTCATATTCTTCTAGCGTCTCCCAGAAGAGAATTATATATATAGATTATCTAGACCACCCGTTATTCTTGACTAACCGGTGTTTCGAGGGTCATGCTTAGTGACGTCTTATTTATTCGACTATTTTTATCTTTCCCCTTCCCTTCCCACTGTCACATATCTTCACAAAAAGTCAGACCCCACATTAAAAAAGACGTCACACATCAGACAACATGTTATTATCTTTTTAAAAACACATATTTCGACTAAGCATGGGTCTGACCACACTATCCATTCATATGCCGAGAACCAGAAACTGGTGAACTCTACTCCACCTGCCCCGTGTCCCGCCAAGTCTCGATTGGCAACTTTATTAGTCACATCTAAAAAAAAAAAAACTTGAAATTTTTTTATTGATATGATGTGTCTTGAAACCATACCTCCCGCATGGTAACTATTACACTTTTAACTCAGCTATTCGGGCACTTCTGATTAGGTGCATACTTAATGGAATACACTACTTAGAGAGTCCGCGTAAGAAACTTGAGCTATGCGAGTAAGCCCATTATTTGAAACTAAATTATATCCCAAATTAGCCAATTCCGTAGCTAAACAAACAGTTTTATATAAAATAATTAAGGTCTGAAATAGTTTAGTATAGAAACTTATTATTGGCATACATTCTAGATCTAGATAGAGCTAGATCTAGATTTTCTAGATCTAGAATCTACGACTGTTAAATCTAGATGAACTGCCCAGCGTATCCTAATGAAAATTGATAATAGTGTTGGAACCTAATAAAAATTGCAAACAGACGTATCGCTAAAGCTAAAGCCGACAGCACATTTAGATTTATAATGCGTTAAACTTTTCAATGGGCAACATGATCTTCCATTAATCTAATATATAAAGTTCAAATCTGTATGTAAAACGTTTGTAAAATGTTTGTTGTGGATACTTCAATGGATTTTAGTGTTAGATTATTATAGGTCTCATATTCTAAATTTAAGAGTTAAAAATTACTATTGAAAGTCTTTAAAAACAATTTTCATTTTATATACTTAGAATAATAATTTTCAATTATGAACATTACATAAAATTTAAAAAAAGTGTATCAACGTTTATAAAATTTCTAAAATTGTGTCTGAAATGTATTTGCATTTTGTCCTTTAGTTCTCATAACGTCCCTTGATTAGGAAAACACGGTTACTTCCCTTTAAAAACCATTAAATCGGGGAAGAAAGAATTTACTTTTTATTACTTTGTTTTGGTGTTAAGAAAAAAAAAATAACATAATGAGCGTGGATTGATTAAGTGCAATGTCGTTGGTTTTTTTAATACTGCCTTTTATTTATTCTATACACTGAACATACTGTTTACTTATTATTTTTTTAATCAATAACATTTAATAAGCCAGGTCCTACAAATCCTATATGTTTATTTCTTTCCATTTACGGATAAGCTTGGGGTATTATAATTTTGTTGACTAAATTGAAACAGGCGCGTCCGCCGGCGCACCTGCACGGTTCGATTTGGCGCCCTGGGCTGTCATGTGAGCTCTATGCTGCATAATTTTGTTTTAAACAGTGCGATAGACTATGGATAAGAAAGGTTACTATAGTCTTTAAGTGAATAAAATCCGGGCGTCCTCCGGCACCCCGACAGGGTGCTATAAGGCGCCCCGGACCTTTTCGTGTACGCTATGGTACCTACGTTCGCGTAAGTGAGTTGAAAAGACTATGAATAAGTTGGGTACTATAGTCGTTTACTAAGTAGAATCAGGCGGTTACGCCGCACGTCGTAATGGTGCAATTTTGCGCCCCGGGCTAGACTGTGGACACTTTGAGTTTATCTTTGCGTTTGTGTTTTCTTTGTTTTGAGTTAAGGTTTGCGTTTGTGATTGTGTTTTGCGTTTGGATTTGGGTTTGGGTGTGTTTTCATTTGCTTTTTTTCTTTTCGTTTGTGTTTTCGTTTTTTTTTCTTTGCGTTTGTGTTTTCTTTGTGTTTGTGATTGTATTTGTATTTGCGTTTCTTTTTGTGTTTTCGTTTGTGTTTGTATTTGCGTTTGTGTTATGTTTGCGTTGTTATTTTGTGTGTTTTGGTTTTGGTTTTGGTTTTGTTTGGTTGTGGTTGGGTTTGTGTTTGCGTTTGGATTTTGATTTGGATTTGTTTTCGTTTGCTATTTTGTTTGCGTTAGTGTTTGTGTTTTCTTTGTGTTTGTGGTTGGGATTGTCTTTGCGTTTGTTTTTGTGTTTTCGTTTGTGTTTGCTTTGTGTCAGTGTTATATTTGCGTTTTCTGTGTGTTTTGGTTGGTTGTGGTTAGGGTGGGCAATGCCGGATAAATGCTGATTACTAAACACACAAGTTATGGCCCTTTACATATACGTTTTTCAGAGATGCCAGTGCAGGGCCTGGCCGGGACGGCTAGTAATTAATAAACCGGGATTGATCTCCCCTAAACTTTCTCAAATATTGCACTGCCCGTTTATGTTCCTTCAGAAGTTACATGTTATGTGCGAGTCTATTAGCGCAAATCCCTTGCTTATCTATCTCACTCATTTTTGAAAAACTACTGTTTTGTATATCTCGGCCATATTTCCATTAAAAAAAGACAACCAACAATGATATTAATTAACAGTTTAATGGACATCATACGCTTGAAGAATATATAGAATAAACTTTCAATTTTCATTTTGCTAAATCATGAGATTATTACAGTTATTATTAGTCTATTCCCGAGGGTCTAGAATTTAAAGTTTTGATAAGTCTATTCTTGTGAATTTAGAATTATTACAGGGTATAAGTGTTTCCGGATATCGGAAATGAATTTGATTCCTTTTTCTAGAGGCGTGCGGCGCTTTAGAAATAAACTAATTGCAATATTTTCTACTACAAGATTATGTTAGTCTTCTTTGTTATTTGGTAGGTTCAAGTCATAAGAGTTCCGGCGTCAGTCAATGTGGGTTGTAAAAGGCACCATTGTAAATGTAAAAACCGAAAAAAAACTGCATGATGGTCGCCCTTGACTGGTCGGTAAATCATTGTCCATCTCAGCTGAGGTATAAAAATGTTACGTGAATGTTATTGATTAGCAAGCCTATCGCTATATTGAAATGATTTTTATGAAGGCGAGCGTTTATTTTGTGTGTGTAAATATTCCAGAGTTCTTATGCATCTCTTATGATGAAAAGACAAGGCGTACTGTTCTTCGACACACCATCTAGACTCTGTCAATTACTTGTTATGATGATATACAATACTAAACGGTGCTGTTCATTCCAAAGATTCTTTAGGAAAATGTTGCAGTCATACTGAGTAATTTTACAAATGAAATTAAATACGCAAAATTTCTTCAAGAAAAAACAATCGTATCATGGTTATATCAGTGTGCTTCACAGCAAAATACTACAGAGTATAACGCAAACTTCAGCTACGAATTCGTTGACGACCACTGGTATTTATAATTATTTTTTAAATTAAAATTTTAAATAATGCAATTTACATTTAATATTTTGTTTATTTCAGATTTACCGAAGAGAAGAATCATAAATTGTTCTTTTCATGTCAACATAAAAAATAGCTGAAAGAAATGAGTTGCCGTATATATGCAAGCGATATCTTCAATGCTGCTAAACTCGGAAATATTGAACCATTGCATATTGCCTCGATAAACTGCAAAAAAAGATATGGCGAAACTGCGCTCATGATGTCTGTTGATGCCAATAATGTGCTGGCATTAAAAACCCTACTCTCAGCAGGTGCTGATCCTAATATATCTAGGAACAATAATGATGGCATCACAGCACTGGCTATAGCTGTGGTAAAAAACAGAGTTGAATGTGTGAAGGAACTCATCAGGGCAGGAGCTTTCTTAAATTGTAAGCGTGGATTAAAGGCTTTAAAGATGGCGAGGGATGAAACGTTTTTGGATGCTGTTGTGGAAGGGGAGCAAGCTATGAAAAAATATATAAAACAAGATTCGGACCAACGGGGTACAGCAGTTTATGTAGCTTTCAAGAAGAATTGTTTTAATTTACTCATTGCGTTAATAGACTCGGGGGTTTCTTTGAGTTTAAGATCATTATCGTACAAAGATACGACAGAAAATAAAAAAATGACTACATTGCTTCTGAAAGCAGCTGAAATAACTCTTAACGAAAAAGTAGGAGATGGGCAGACTCTACTAAAACAAGCCATACGATTAAAAGATATACAGTTTTTAAAATTTCTGATAGAAAATCATGTCGATCTTAATGTTGCAGATTCCACCGAAAACACATGTCGTGATGGTCAAGTTGCGTTAGTAAACGTACTTCTGGCTGGGGCTAAAATGGAAGCGGTAAGGTGATCTTATATAGAAGTCATGAAATCGCTTATAACGTCAATCGCTGATATCAACCTTGTTGACGAAGACGGCAGTTGCTTACTTATAAAAGCTGTTCAATCAAAACAAATTGAGATCGTCAACTTTATTTTAGAAAAGAAAGTAAATATCGACCAAGCAGATGATTCTCAAAGTACAGCTCTTCATTATGCCTGCAAGTCAAAAAATCTGGAAATAGTAAAATTACTTGTGAACGCTGGAGCTAAAGTTGAGTTTTTAAATAATGAAAATTTAACGCCTTTCTCAGAGGCATGTAAGCAATCACAGATAGGGATAATGAAAATATTTTTAGATGCAGGCTGGGATATAAATTGTGTAGATATTTACCATCGAACTCATCTCATAAACTCTATTAGGAGAGAAAATGATAGCACATTTGTCATTAACCCTTTTACGGCTGGTAACTTTGCCACCACAAATTTTTTGTTAGAACACGGAGCTGATATTTCAAAAGTTGACAAAGACGGAATGACAGCCTTGATGTGGGCAGCTAAAACAAATAACGAAAAAGTCTTTGATCTTTTGCTTGACCTTAAGCCTGAGGTAAACTGTGTTGACCTTAAACAGACGACAGCATTAGCTCATGCAGTGATGAGCCTTAACGTACAGATGGTAGCCAAGTTGATACAAGCTGGAGCTGATGTTAACATCGCCTCTAATTGTCAAGTCAAATGCAATAAAAAATTTAATGTTTGTAATACAGTTGAATATTTAAAAGAAATACAAGAAAAAGTGACACAACCTTCTAATGGTAAAAACACACCGCTACATATAGCTATATCGGTATGTTGGGGAAGAAGCAACAACACAATAATTGACTTGCTGTTGAAATCTGGAGCCAATGTAAATGATGCGGATGAGAATGGTAGAACACCTTTACATTTGGCAGCTATTACTGGAGATCACGCGTTAGTAGAAGCTTTGGTTCGTCGTGGTGCTAAAATAAACAATGTGGATAATTTCGGCATGTTCCCACTCCATATTTCAATACTGTACAAATACCACAAGTTAACCCAATGTTTGATTGAGGATTATAGAGGTTTATTTTATCTTAACCGTGATGCTCTAAGCTCGTCTTTATACCTTGCTATATTGAATGATGATACAAGTCTTGTAGAAAGTTTGTTCAAGCATGGCGCACGTATTAAGAAAGGCAGCGGTGCGGAGCTGCTGATTTCACTGGAACATGCAAATTATGACGTCACATTAGATTTACTAGAACATGGAGCTGACGCTAATGTTAAAGACAGTAATGGAATACCAGCACTATTGAAAGCTATCAGAATTGCAAATCCTGATTCATCAGTGACTAGAGCAAATGCATTTGGTTTAAACCGTCTAGCTTCTTTATCTGGTAATGGTCTTATGTTAAAACATAACTACGCAAAATGGTATACGTGTTCGTTTGATTTATTTAACTCATTTCTAGATAACGGAGCTAATGTTTCAGCTACTGACAACAAAGGTAACACCTGTCTACACGCAGCGGCTAAGTTTTGTGGCAATAGTAACTTGCAGTTGTTTGTAGCCTACGAAGCTGAGGTCAATGTCCAGAACGCAAAAGGTGAGACGCCGTTAATGAAAGCGTGTCGTCGTGGTAATGTTGAGGCTGTCAGGTATCTTCTTTCTGTTGGAGCTGATGTTATGTTGGTGAACGAAAACCGGGATACAGCGCTGCACCACGCAGTGATTTCTGCCAGAAGAGAAAACCATGTGAAAATGGTTGTATCTACTACAAATGCTTACGTAAAAAGTAAGACTTCTGATATTGTTGAAATGCTAGTGGGTTTGGGAATTAACATACACGCCCGTAATAGAGAAGGTAACACTGCTTTACATTTAGCAGTCAAGTATGATGTCTGTCTCTTGACAATTTTATTGATAAACCTTGGGTCGAACGTAAACGAACAAAACAACGATGGAGACACACCTCTTTTCTTTTTGAAAAACCACAAAGTAATCAGTTACCTACTTGATGCTAAAGCCGATATCAATATAAGAAATAATCGAGGTGAAACAGCTTTACATCGTGTCTACGATGTCGAAATAGCACGTGCATTATTGGACAGGGGTGCAGAGATGATTATTTCAACAGAAGGACAAACAGCACTCATGTACGCTGCAACTTCTGATAACTTCGAGCTGGTTCAACTGTTAATAGAGCGAGGTGCAAATATCAATGTTCAAGATAATGAAGGAAGAAATTGTTTAATGAAAGCATTGAGGAGATATAGACAATTTAACTATGATATTTTAAAATTTCTTATAATGAGTGGAGCAGATGTTAATGCAAGTGACAAAACGGGCCAGACTGCCTGTATGCTAGCCGTTATCAACGATTGTTTTGTGATTGTAACTACACTCCGAATGTTTGGGGCTGATTTGAACAAAGTGGATAAAGAAAACAGATCTGCTCTTGTTCATGTTTTATTAAACAATCGCATAGATAGAATGAGTTATATTATGGAAGTTTTAAAACTAGGAGCTGACATTGTGGTCGATAGTCAGTACAGATATTTAGTTCAATCTGTGACAAAAGAATTCGAAGATGCAACAATAACAAGCGTAAGGTCACCACGAATATTTCAGTTTTTTGTGTTAAACGGGTGCATTTTGAATCAGACGAAGGAATCCACTAAAAGAAACGAAACTTCAATGTTTTATCACCCCATTAATAAAATCAGTTTAAAAAATTTAGATTTTATAAAATACATTTTCGCCATCGGTATGATATTCAAGTCAGACTTACAATTGCTACGAAAGTTAGGAAAAGATTGCTCTATGTACCCTGACTTCCGGAAACATATATTAGCGGTTTTAAAACCGGCTTTGCAGGAACCCTGGCCACTGGTCAAACTAGCTTTTATTGAAGTCTCCACCTTAATTGGGACTGGACCTATGAGAGAAGAAAAACTAAAACAGACCAAACTCCCACCAAGATTACAGAGAACGTTGATGTTTCAAGAACCAATATCAAGATTACCTGTAGAAGACTGGTCTAAAATACCTCTTTGTTTTGACCCAGTGCAGTACGAGACTTTACCCTGTCCTAGACCTTTACTCTACTACTGGCCTGTTGGGCATAAGCTGGTTATCTGATGTTTTTTTTTTTAAATATAATTTAAAAAAAAACATTTTCTGCTACAATGAGCTGTTAGTTTTAAGGTCTAAATTTAACAGAAAAATTATTTAGATTTTTAGTGGATAAACTCTATAATTCTGAAATTATTCTGTAATGTAACTCTCTCTATATAAACGTTTTTCTATCACTGAAACTACGATTAAATATATTCATGAGCGTCAGCGTATTACGTGAACGTATAAAGATATAATTAATGATCAAATGAAAAAAAAATACATTATTGTAATTATCATTAGTTATTATTAGTTTGCTTATCATTATTAGCATTTTAATTATTATAAAATTATTTCCAACATGTTATAACTATTTCTACCATTAATATCATTCTGAATTTATTTTTTCTTATTTTTTTTTTTTTTGGCCTCAGAAATGTGATTTTTCAGCGTCAGTTTTCTTTAACATGTTTACTTTACTATTACAGTTTTTATCAACGGCTTATGAGGAATGATACAAATTTACAATAGTAATACTTCTTCCTGAAATGTACTTTCATTCATTTAATATGGTTTACTATAACATAATACAAAACGTCTTATTATAATTTTATTTTTAAACTTCACATTGTATTTGGTGATTCAATGTTCTATTAAAAAAAGGTAAAATTTTTTAAAAAGTCCAAAAAAAGTAAAAGGGCAATTTTTAAAAATTATCATTCTTAATTTGTATTCTTCATTTTGTTCACTCATCAAATCTGCATTTATGTTTATAGCTATATAAAATAAGTGTTTTACTATAATCATAGAAAAACTTTTTTTTCTTTTTTTTGACTTATTATTAAAAATTATTTTATGTTAATATTGCAGTCAATCGTTATAAATTATTCATTTTTTGGCTGTATTTTTCAATGTGACATATTCCATTGACTTTTAACGCTATAAGCTGTTGACACTCTAGTTAGATATATTAAAACAATGAAACTACTAGCACAGTGCTAACTAGGCTTTGATGTTAGTGTCATGAGACTGGTAACGAAAAAAAATGTTAAAGGTAGACCTGTTGATTGGTTTACGAATGTTCGTAATGTTTTAAACGAATACTCGGAAATAAATAAAAGTAAAATTTAAAAATTAGCCTTTTATTACAAGAAGTAGAATTCATCTGCTTCTCTAACCTCGCTATATGAACAGAGTGTGGGGTCAGTTATTTGCCCAGACGCCTTAACTTTTCTTATTGTGAGTCAGGTGCCCAGCAGAGTTGTCTAAACTCACGATCAGTGTGTCTTCCAGACTTTTTTCTGCGGGGGGGGGGGGGGGGCACTTAAAATTTTCGGGGGGGGGGGGGGGGGTAGACTACTTTCTTCGGGGGGGGGGGAGGGGCTTTGTCCCCCCACCCCCAAAGAGATGCCTGGAAGAAACTCTGCTCAGGTTCTGAACTTAATTTAGTGTTAACAGTCGTGGGCTCTACTTCGCAGCCACGATGCCCTATACTCACATAATAAAAAAATACTCTTATTTTTAAAAAAAAATTAAACACCAATTATCACGAGTACGTACTGTAAAGAATATTGACAGCTAGTGGTCTTTTTAATTGTTTTAAATTATATTCTGTCTACTAAATCCGTTGAATAACGGTCTCTCGTTGATAAAATACTCGTTAATTGTTTATTTGTTTTCGCTGTAAAAGAAAAATAAATAACAACAGCAACAAAGACTATCATCTGCTTCTAAAACTTAGCGAAGTAAAGTAAGTCAAAGAGTTCCAAACTGAAATAAAATAAACCGGGAGTGATCTCCCCTAAACTTTCTCGAATATTCTTATATAAAACAACAGGGGATGGGAACTCGGGATATAGTTATGATTTTTAATCCATTTTAAATACTTAAACTCTTAAAAATAGAATAGAATCTCATAGAAAAAGAATTGCGCACTAAGCGAACGCCGAATAAAGATGTGTATAATAGTGCAGAATATTATTAGTACTTTATAAATTCACATGCGTTTTTTGAGAAATCGGAAATAGTTATAGGCTTTTGAATAATTAAAAATAGAAAAAGTTCCAATTCCGGTTATCGGAAACGTATCTACGATTTCGATATAATACTTATATATGAAATTTCATCAACCTAGCTGTATCGTTACTCAAGTTATCGTGTTTACACAAACACACAGACACACATACACACACACAGACATACGGACAAGATTGCAAAGCTATGTTTTTCCGACTCAGGGAGGTGTAAAACGTCGAGATGTGCAAAAATCACGATTATTTTTTTGCACGATTTCAATACTTTCTCTATACTTCGTATATACGAGAACGTAAAAAGACAAATATGATATTTATCTAATACGATATTTTACGCTACAGCCTTTTCAGTTATGTATTATTCGCTATTTGATTCGGTCGTATTTTTTGTTCATCATTTCTTTACTTCTAATCACAAATCAGGCTTTATTATATATATTTTTGCCACATCATGTATAATATGGTAGCCTTTAAGTTTTATACCTCAGTTTAAAAACGTTTGCAATATCTAAGCTACGCTAACATGACACATGTATGAAATGAATTACAATATATGCAAGAACCCTGGCCACTGGTAAAACTAGCTTTTATTGAAGTCTCCACGTTACTTGGGACTGGACCTATGCGAGAAGAAAAACTAAAACAGACCAAACTCCCACCAAGATTACAGCGAACGATGATGTTTCAAGAACCAATATCAAGATTACCTGTAGAAGACTGGTCTAAAATACCTCTTTGTTTTGACCCAGTAAAGTACGAGACTTTACCCTGTCCTAGACCTTTACTCTACTACTGGCCTGTTGGTAATAGGCTCGTTAATTAATATATCTTTAATGATTTGAGAATATTTTTTAAAAATGTGAATATTAAACTAATCTTCATAAAGCAGACGCTTGCAATTTAAAAATATGTGTATATCTCTGTGTAAGTGCAGGAGTAGGCCACTACATGCGAAAACATAATTAAAAAACCAGTGTATGAAATATACGATCGTTTTCCCATAGTTGGCCTACCTGTTAAGGGAATTCCAGGTATTACATTACACTTCCTGGAAAAGAATCTCTGTTGTACACAAAGTCTACATGCTCAAGTTAAACAATCAGATCAAGAATAAAACCGCTTTACCAAATTATAGAACAAATATAACAGTATGTAAGTATGTATTAAGATTTGTACGTAACTTAATTTAAATAAGACGGAGAACAATTTAATGTAATGTGCTGACAAGACTGAACACCTCTCTCTCTTTCTGTTCGTTGCAACATCGAGGATGTGACGGACGCCATCTTGAAACCTGCTACTGTTGTATCAGTTTACGTCTAATAAAGTATTGTTTATGTTTACATTTAAAGAGGGGTAACAATTTCACTATATAAAAATCCCTGTATTGATGTTCCGTATTTAGAATGTAGGTTGTTTTGTGAAGTGAAAACAATTTAGCGGACCGACCGTGTATTAATGTAATATTTAGTATTAAATAGACCATCCGTTATTCTTGACTAACCGGTGTTTCGAGGGTCATGCTTAGTGACGTCTTATTTATTCGACTATTTTTATCTTTCCCCTTTCCTTCCCACTGTCACATATCTTCACAAAATGTCAGACCCCACATTAAAAAAGACGTCACACTTCAGGCAATATGTTATTGTCTTTTTAAAAACACATATTTCGACTGAGCTTGGATCTGACCACACTATCCATTCATATGCCGAGAACCAGAAACTGGTGAACTCTACTCCACCTGCCCCGTGTACCGCCAAGTCCCGATTGGCAACTTTATCACATCTAAAAAAAAAAAAAAAACTTGAAATTTTTTTTATTGATATGATGTGTCTCGAAACCATACCTCCCGCATGGTAACTATGACACTTTTAACTGAGCGATTCGGGCACTTCTGATTAGGTGCATACTTAATGGAATACACTACTTAGAGAGTCCGCGTAAGAAACTTGAGCTATGCGAGTAGGCCCATTATTTCAAACTAAATTATATCCAAAATTAGCCAATTCCGTAGCTAAACAAACAGTTTTATATAAAATAATTAAGGTCTGAAATAGTTTAGTATAGAAACTTATTATTGGCATACATTCTAGATCTAGATAGAGCTAGATCTAGATTTTCTAGATCTAGAATGTACGACTGTTAAATCTAGATGAACTGCCCAGCGTATCCTAATGAAAATTGATAATAGTGTTGGAACCTAATAAAAATAGCAAACAGACGTTTCGCTAAAGCTAAAGCCGACAGCACATTTAGCTTTATAATGCGTTAAACTTTTGAATGGGCAACATGATCTTCCATTAATCTAATATATAAAGTTCAATTCTGTATGTACAATATTTCTAAAATGTTTGTCGTGGATACTTAAATGGATTTTAGTGTTAGATTATTATAGTGCTCATGGTCTAAATTTATGAGTTAAAAATTACTATTGAAAGTATTTAAAAACAATTTTCATTTTATATACTTAGAATAATAATTTTCAATTATGAACATTACATAAAATTTTAAAAAAGTGTATCAACGTTTATAAAATTTCTAAAATTGTGTCTGAAATGTATTTGCAATTTGTCCTTTAGTTCTCATAACGTCCCTTGATTTGGAAAACACAGTTACTTCCCTTTAAAAACCATTAAATCGGGGAAGAAAGAATTTACTTTTCATTATTAACACGTTTTTCTTAACTCAGCTTCGCGTTTGTTTGTGGGTTTGTTGTTAAAATTGACAACGAAAATTAGCCCACTTCTGATTGCTCTAGAGATCTGAAATTCGGCATGCAGGCTATTTTCGCATAACAATTTCAGATGCAATCATAAAAACTAGCAATTAGAGACCTAAATTAGCTTAATTAAATTACGCCCCAAGGACCCTAAAATTGAGGACATGATTTCTAAAGCAAAAATAAATTATCAATCCAGATTTATCAAAACAAAATTAAGAGGTTTTATCAGTGGCGGAGTGGTCTAGCGGTAGAGAGTTCGAATCCGGGTTTAAGTCAGTAGACCGTCCCTGAGTCCACCCAACTCTGATGAGTACCTAAAAAATCCTCTAAATTTTTATGTATTTAAAAACACTTAGTCAAGTCATACTTAATCAAGTCATTAGATAAAGTAGAAAATAAACTATATATAAACTTTTTAAAACCACGTTTTTCATGTGTAGCAACGGACTAAAAAGGAGAAAATAAAATACTTAAAAAAAACTTTTTAAAAAACCACGTTTTTCTTGTGGACTAAAAAGTAGAAAATAAATTTTTCTTCCGACCCTAGGGGATCTACCAATGACTGCTCGTAAATTTTGTGCTTCCTTGAGCTGTGCAGGTTCTTGTGATGACTGTTCATACATTTGATGACAAAAAACGTGGGTCGGGCAGATGGGTCGGGAAATTTGATGGTGAACGTACCCACGTTTGATCTCCCCTAAACGTTCTCAAATATTGCAATTGTCTGTTTATGTTCCTTCAGAAGTTACATGTTATGTGCGAGTCTATTAGCGCAAATCCCTTGCTTAACTATCTCACTCATGTTTGAAAAACTACTGTTTTGTATATCTCGGCCATATTTCCGTTAAAAAGACAACAACAATGATATTCATTAGCAGTTTAATGGACATCATACGCTTGAAGAATATATAGAATAAACTTTCCATTTTCATTTTGCAAAATCATGAGATTATTACAGTTATTATTAGTCTATTCCCGAGGATCTAGAATTTAAAGTTTTGATAAGTCTATTCTTGTGAATCTAGAATTATGACAGTGTATAAGTGTTTCCGGATATCGGAAATGAAATTGATTCCTTTTTCTAGAGGCGTGCGGCGCTTTAGAAATAAACTAATTGCAATATTTTCTACTACAAGATTATGTTAGTCTTTTTTGTTATTTGGTAGGTTCAAGTCATAAGAGTTCCGGCGTCAGTCAATGTGGGTTGTAAAAGGCACCATTGTAAATGTAAAAACCGAAAAAAACTGCATGATGGTCGCCCTTGACTGGTCGGTAAATCATTGTCCATCTCAGCCGAGGTAAAAAAATGTTTCATTGATGTTATTGATCAGCAAGCATATCGCTATATTGAAATGATTTTTATGAAGGCGAGCGTACTTTTTGTGTGTGTAAATATTCCAGAGTTCTTATGCATGTCTTATGATGAAAAGACAAGGCATACTGTTCTTCGACACACCATCTAGACTCTGTCAATTACTTGTTATGCTGATATACAATACTAAACGGTGCTGTTCATTCCAAAGATTCTTTAGGAATATGTTGCGGTAGTAGTTTTACACATGAAATTAAATACGCAAAATTTCTTCAAGAAAAAAACAATCCCATCATGGTTATATCAGTGTGCTTCACAGTGAAATACTACAGAGTATAACGCAAACTTCAGCTACGAATTCGTTGACGACCATTGGTATTTATAATTATTTTTTAAATTAAAATTTTAAATAATGCAATTTACATTTAATATTTTGTTCATTTCAGATTTACAGAAGAGAAGAATCATAAATTGTTCTCTTCATGTCAACATAAAATATAGCTGAAAAAATGAGTAGCCGTATATATGCAAGCGATATCTACAATGCTGCTAAACTCGGAAATATTGAACCATTGCAGATTGCCTCGATAAATTGCAAAAATAGATATGGCGAAACTGCGCTCATGATGTCTGTTTATGCCAATAATGTGCTGGCATTAAAAACGCTACTATCAGCAGGTGCTGATCCGAATATATCTAGGAACAATAATGATGGCATCACAGCACTGGCTATAGCTGTGGTAAATAACAGAGTTGAATGTGTGAAGGAACTCATCAGGGCAGGAGCTTTCTTAAATTGTAAGCGTGGATTGACGGCTATAAAGATGGCGTGGGATGAAAACTTTTTTGACGCTGTAGTGGAAGGGGATCAAGCTATGAAACAATATATAAAACAAGATTCGGACCAACGGGGGACCGCATTTTATCTAGCTTTCAAGAAGAATTGTTTTAATTTACTCATTGCGTTAATAGACTCGGGGGTTTCTTTGAGTTTAAGATCATTATCGTACAAAGATATGACAGAAAATAGAAAGATGACTACATTGCTTCTGAAATCAGCTAAAATAACTCTTAACGAAAAAGTAGGAGAGGGAGAGACTCTATTAAAACAAGCCATACGCTTAAAAGATATACAGTTTTTAAAATTTCTTATAGAAAATCACGTCGATCTTAATGTTGCAGATTCCACCGAAAACACATGTCATGATGGTAAATTTGCATTAGTAAACGTACTTCTGGCTGGGGCTAAAATGGAAGCGGTAAGCTGCTCTTATATAGAAGTCATGAAATCGCTTATAACGTCAATCGCTGATATCAACCTTGTTGACGAAGACGGCAGTTGCTTACTTATAAAAGCTGTTCAATCAAATCAAATGGAAATTGTCAACTTTCTTTTAGAAAAGAAAGTAAATATCGACCAAGCAGATGATTCTCAGAGTACAGCTCTTCATTATGCCTGCAGGTCAAATAATCTGGAAATAGTAAAATTACTTTTGAACGCTGGAGCTAAAGTTGAGGTCTATAATAATGAAAATTTAACGCCCTTCTCAGAGGCATGTAAGCAATCACAGATAGAGACAATGAAAATATTTTTAAATGCAGGCTGGGATATAAATAGTGTAGATATTTACCATCGAACTCATCTCATAAACTCTATTAGGAGAGAAAATGATAGCACATTTGTCATTAACCCTTTTACGGCTGGTAACTTTGCCACCACAAAATTTTTGCTAGAACACGGAGCTGATATTTCAAAAGTTGACAAAGACGGAATGACAGCCTTGATGTGGGCAGCTAAAACAAATAACGAACAAGTCTTTGATCTTTTGCTTGACCTTAAGCCCGAGGTCAACTGTGTTGACCTTAAACAGACGACAGCATTAGCTCATGCAGTGATGAGCCTTAACGTACAGATGGTAGCCAAGTTGATACAAGCTGGAGCTGATGTTAACATTGTTTCTAATTGTCAAGTCAAATGCAATAAAATTGTTAATGTTTGTAATACAGTTGAACATTTAAAAGAAATGCAAGAAAAAGTGACAAAACCTTCTAATGATAAAAACACACCGCTACATATAGCTATATTGGGATGTCGGGGAAGAAGCAGCACCACAATAATTGACTTGCTGTTAAAATCTGGAGCCAATACAAATGCAGTGGATGAGCATGGTAGAACACCTTTACATTTGGCAGCTATTACTGGAGATCACGCGTTAGTAGAAGCTTTGGTTCGTCGTGGTGCTAAAATAAACAATGTGGATAATTTCGGCATGTTCCCACTCCATTTTTCAATACTGTACAAATGCCACGAGTTAACCCAATGTTTGATTGAGGATTATAGATCTTTATTTTTTCTTAACCGTGATACTCTAAGCTCGTCTTTATACCTTGCTATATTGAATGATGATACAAGTCTTGTAGAAAGTTTGTTCAAGCATGGCGCACGTATTAAGAAAGGCAGTGGTGCGGAGGTGCTGATTTCACTGGAACATGCAAATTATGACGTCACACTCGATTTACTCGAACATGGAGCTGACGCTAATGTTAAAGACAGTAATGGAATACCAGCACTATTGAAAGCTATCAGAATTGCAAGTCCTGGTTCATCAGTGACAAGACCAAATGCATTTGGTTTAAAGAGTCCAGCTTCTTTATCTGGTAATGGTTCTATGGTAAACATTAACTACCCTAAATGGTATAAGTGTTCACGTTATTTAATTAAGTCATTTCTAGATAGTGGAGCTGATGTTTCAGCTACTGACAACGAAGGCAACACTTGTCTACATGTAGCTGCTGAGTTTTGTAGCGCGGATATCGTGGAGTTGTTTGTTGAGCACAAAGCTGTTGTCAATGTCCAGAACGTAAAAGGTGAGACGCCGTTAATGATGGCGTGTCGTGGTGGTAATGTTGAGGCGGTCAGGTACCTTCTCTCTGTTGGAGCTGATGTGTTGTTGGTGAATGTAAACAAGGATACAGCTTTACACTACGCCGTTAATTCTTCCAGTGGAGAAAACGAAATGTCGTCTGATGGGAACATTGTTGTATCTATTCCAAATATTTACGTACACCGTAGGTCTTCTGATATTGTTAAAATTTTAGCGCGACCGGGTATTAACATATACGCCCGTAACAAACAAGGTAACACCGCTTTACATTTGGCAGTAAAGTATAATCTCTATCTCTCGACAATTTTATTGATAAACCTTGGGTCGAACGTAAACGAACAAAACACCGAAGGAGACACACCTCTTTTCTTTTTGAGAAACGACAAAGTAATCCGTTTCTTACTTGATGCTAAAGCTGATATCAATATAAGAAATAATCTGGGTGAAACAGCATTACATCGTGTCTTAGATGTCGAAATAGCATGCGTATTAATGGACAGGGGTGCAGAGATGATTATTTCAACAGAAGGACGGACTGCTTTGATGTACGCTACAGCTTCTGGTAACTTCGAGCTGATTCGACTGTTAGTAGAGCGAGGTGCAAATATCAACGTTGAAGATAATGAAGGGAGAAATTGTTTAATGCAAGCATTAGTTATATCAGCAGGATATAGACAGTTTAACCTGGATATTTTGACATTTCTTATACAAAGTGGAACAGATGTTAATGCAAGTGACATAACAGGCCAGACTGCCTGTATGCTAGCCGTCATCAACGATTGTTTTGAGATTTTATCTACACTCCGATTATTTGGTGCTGATTTGAACAAAGTGGATAAAGAAAACAGATCTGTTCTTGTTCATGTTTTATTAAACAATCACATAGATAAAAGTAGGTATATTTTGGAAGTTTTAAGACTAGGAGCTGACATTGTGGTCGATAGTCAGTACAGATATCTAGTCCAATCTGTGACAAAAGAATACGAAACAAACGGCAATAATACAAACATAAAAATTGTAAGGTCACCACGAATGTTTCAGTTTTTTCTGGTGAACGAGTGCATGTTGAAGCAGGCAAAGAAATCCCTTAAAATATTCGAAATTTCATTGTTGTGTTGTTCTGTTTTTGAAAACGAAATTGAACATTTAGATTTTGTAAGTTACGTTTTCGCCATCGGTATGATATTCAAGTCTGACTTAGAATTGATTCGTAAGTATGGAAAATATTACCCTTTTTTCGGTTATATGCGTAATGATAAACTAGTAAAAGCAGTTTTAGAAGCGGCCATGCGAGAACCCTGGCCACTGGTCAAACTAGCTTTTATTGAAGTCTCCACCTTACTTGGGACTGGACCTATGAGAGAAGAAAAACTAAAACAGACCAAACTCCCACCAAGATTACAGCGAACGTTGATGTTTCAAGAACCCATATCAAGATTACCCGTAGAAGACTGGTCTAAAATACCTCTTTGTTTTGACCCAGTACAGTACGAGACTTTACCCTGTCCTAGACCTTTACTCTACTACTGGCCTGTTGGTCACAAGCTGGTTATCTGATGTTTAAATTATAAATTACTGAAAAGAAACAATTTCTGCTTCAATGAGCAGTGTGTAACTAAAAGGCCTAAATTTAATAGAAACATTATTACGATTTCTAATGGATAAAATCTATAATTCTGAAATTATTCTTTAATGTAACTATACAAATAATAAACGTTTTTCTATCACTGGAACTACGGATAATGCATTCATAAGCGTCAGCGTATTACGTGGACGTATAAAGATATAATTAATGATCAAATGAGAAAATAAATTATTGTTATTATCATTAGTTATTATTAGTTTTATAATCATGATTAGTATTTTAATTATTATAAAATTATTATTAACACGTTATAACTATTTCTATCATTAATATCATTCTTAATTTATTTTTTCTTAATTTTTTTTTTGGCCTCAGATATGTAATTTTTCAGTGTCAGTTTGCCTTGCCGTGTTAGCTCTACTATAACAGTTTGTCATCGGTTTGTGAGGATTGATACAGATTTACATTAGTGAAACTTCTTTCTGACATTAATTTAATATTATTTATTTATACATAATACAAAAAGTCTTATTACAAATTTATATTTAAACCTAAAATGTTATAGGTAATTCAATGTTCTGGTGCAAAAGTAGGAAAAAAGTGTTTTAAATATTTAAAAATTCCAAAAAAATTAAATTAAATTAAATTAAAAGGTCAATACTTTTGGTATTATCATTTTTTAAATGTATTTTCTTCTTTGTGTTCACACAGCAAATAGACATTTATCTTTACGAGCTGACCCGCGGCGTATCATACGCGGCTATTTGGTTCTTTTATTTTCTTCTTTTCATTACTTCATAGTTAGTAAATTCGACAATACCCTCCCTTCCATTTCTCCCATTCACCCCCCTGCAAACGTGAAAACAGCCGTCCGTGACGACAGTTTATGGCCGACAATAAAAAGATCAAGCGTAACTTGTTACCTCTCCTTAGTCTCAAATCGTTTAAAAGCTAAATTATAATTATCTGCCCCTAATGCCGCTAGGATAGGCTAGTTATATGAAAGTTATTTTAAACATTAGAAGTTTACTTTCATATAAGTAAATAACATACATCTTTCTCATTAGAAAGCATAAGTTCGCAGCTTTTTTTATGTGCAAGAGTATGTTTCTGTTACTATAATAATGCTTATTTCAGGCATGTCCCCCCCCCACCTACCCCCTTATCCCGGAGCACGCCCAACGCCCCTAATGATGTAAGAGAAAGCATATTTAACTTACATTGAAAATATATACTTTAAAACCAGTATCCTATTGAGTGTTCCCTGCAACATAAGATTTGCAGGTACCCCTACCACAAAAGAGAAAAAAATGTCTGAAAGGAATACTGGTGGGTGTTTCTGTGTGTGCAGGATCTCATGCAAATTTTAATCAAACAGACGTTAAACCCAACGCTGGATTGGTTAACGCTAAACCAGTCGCCAAAGAGTCAACATTCGACAAACCGGTTGTGGAGTTCCCAAGTGCTTAGAATAGGATTGTTTTCTTGGGTCGATGAAAAAATTAAACAGCTACAACCGCACCAAAGAGTTTAGCAACAAGCAATAGTTTGTAAGTATATAGTGCGTTTTTTTACAAGTTATTAGATAATACGAGCATGAAATTATTGTGTAATGTATAAACCGTATTCTGAGTAACGTGAAGTACGCAATCTACCTGCTACTCCCATCATTATTATTAAGTTTTATCTTTGAAAATTACAAAATATTAAATATTTTGGTGTGAACTTTAATCGAGCCTTAAACTTATTATTCGTTGTTTTTTCTTTCCGTTATGTAAAAACACTTAATGTATTAAATTTAAATTAAAATGGCCAATGCTTCCTCATTTCTAGTAGGACTTTAAAAGCGGACCGTAGTACATATAGGCCTACCAAAGTGTAGATTTTTTCTCTCTCCTTTTTCGTTTTTAATTGTAACTAGACTTACCCTGTCATCCTTTAAACAACTTTGGGTTTCGAGGGTCATCCATAAAAAAAACATCACGTCAGTCACTTATTGTCACAAAAAACCAGACCCCACATTCAAAAAGATGTTTTTTATCTTTTAAAAACACCGATTTCGGACTATCCCTTCATATACTGACGTCAATGGTGACCTACTCAACTCTACTTCACCTGCCCAGTGTCCCGCCAAGTCTCAGACAACTTGTTTTTATCGTTTCAAAAAAACTATTCCAGCCGAGCATGTCTCTGACCACACTATTCCTTCATATGCTTAAGACAAAGAAACAGATAAACTCTACTTCACCTGCCCTGTATCCCGCCAAGTTCAGCAACTTTATCATTCACATCTAAAAATAAAAAAAAATTTTAAAAAATTTACCAATTTAACATTGAAGTATTGGTTAACTTAGCTATTTAACTCGTGACGTCGGAGTGTTTTTTTATACTATGCTTTAATACTTTGAGTCTCCTTAGGCACTTGATTTACGCGCATAGATCTAGATCTAAGTCTAGTAGTAGTTACTTTCAAATTAAATTTTATCTTAAATTAGCCAATTACATAGCTAAACAAAAAAGATTTCTACAAAATAATGAAGGTCTGAAATTATCTAGATCTAGATAGACTTATCTAGATCTAGATTCTACGACTCGTTTGCCTAAGTCTTAAGTCTAGTTTTTGCGTAACTCTTGCTAGATCAAGAATCTAGAATCTAGATCTTATCATTGTAAAAAGAAAATAAGTCGTTTTACTATTACTAAATTCAATGTTCTAAACTTTTATAATTAATGTGGTTAATCTACTCATGAATATATCAATAAATTAATTAACGGCTTTAAGTTAGTTTGTAATTAACAGTGTGTTTAAGAAGGAACAATATTTACCACCCAAAATCCTATTTTACAGCTCTACACTTAATGCAGATTCTGCCCAATAACAAATCAGAAAAACAAACAACAAAAAAATGAGTTATCAAACGTCACTATTCAGTCAAAATTAAGCCATTGTTCTAAAACTTTAAAATTAATGTGGTTAATCTACCTATGATTAAATCAATAAATTAATTAACGTCTTTAAATAAATTTGTGATTAACAGTCTGTCTGAAAACAAAAATTGTTCTCTACCTACATACTATTTTACAGCTCTCCACAATAAGTAGAACCATTTACAATAGTCAATCAGACAAACAAAAAAAAAACAAAAAAAAAATATTCAAACATGTAAACAAACTTGAGTTTTAGTAGTATATAGATAGATAGATATTAGAGGTAATTTCCTACCGGCACGAAAATAAAGTCACATCATGTTTTGCGCCCTTTAGCTGGTTTATTCCAACTTAAATTTTATTTTCTGTCTAGGTATAGCCTGATTATTTGCTATTTTTCAGCTTTTGAGAGATTACCGTTAAACAGGTGGACGAAATTTCACATAGGCCTATATGTATTTTATTTTAGCACAGGTTACCTTCAACGTTTGAAAATTTCCGGTAACCAAAACTGGCACTGTACTTAATATGATGTGAAGACTATAACTTGAGTACTGATTCAGTTAGGGAGACAAAATTTCATATATTATATATGTAGGCCTATGAGATGTTTTACGGAAAATACTTTTAGTGTTTAAGCGACTTCCAATTAAAAAGACTGTGGTATTTTTTTACTTTCTCGTATACACAAAGTATAGAGAAAGTCTTGTAATCGTGCAAAAAAAAAAATCGAGATTTTTACAAATCTCGACGTTTTACACCTCACTGATACGGAAAAACATAATTTTGCAATCTTGTCCGTATGTCTGTGTGTCTGTCTGTCTGTCTGTGTGTGTGTCCGTGTGTAAACACGATAACTTGAGTACCGTTACGGCTAGATGAAATTTCATATATAAGTATTTTATCAAAATCGTAGATCCGTATCAACTTTTGAGCGATTTCCGATAACCGGAAGTAGTACTTTTCCTACTTTGAATTTTTCAAAAGCCTATAACTTGAGTACTTTTTCAGATAGATAAATGAAATTTCACATGTAAGTAAAAGATCTAATTCTCTACCTTCTGTAAAATTTGAGTAATTTCCGTTGACCGGAAGTAGTAATTTACGCTACTTCCGATTTCTCAAATACTAATGTAAATTTTTAAAGTACTAATAATATGCGCACTATTATGCACTTTTTTATTTGGCGTTCACTTAGTGTGCAATTCATTTGTCTACGAGATTTTATTCTATTTTAAAAATTTTAAGTATTTAAAATGGATTAAAAATCATGTCTATAGCCCGAGTTCCCATCTCCTGTTATTTTATATAAGAATATTCGAGAAAGTTTAGGGGAGATTACTCCCGGTTTATTCTATTTAGGTTTTAGAAAATATCTATAACTTAAGCACCGTTCCTATTAGATAGATACAATTTCCTTCGTAAATGTAAGATCGTATTTTCTTGTTTTTTTTCCCATCATTGATGATTTCCGGTTACCAGAAATAGTACTTTACATTTTAATTTTTCTCAAAAAAATAATGCATCCTGATGTCACTTTTGTAATTATAAGCATTCATTTAATTTACGATCTATTTGTTTTATTCGTTTGTAGTTTGTGCGAATATTGTATCTTCGTTTATTCTTTCCAGATACATTTGTCAATGGTGACAATAAAAAACGTATATTTCTTATGTAATTAAACATTAAATTCAATCATTAAAATTTAACTTAAAAATAAGCATAAACACTAGCGATCAATCTATCAGCTGGATTTAGAAGGTGTTCTGTTTTTTTTTCACGGTTGTTTTTTTTTTTTTTTTTTTTTTTTGCTTTAGTATATATAGTGGACTAAGAGATAGTAAGTTTTTGAATAGGCTTTAAGGCAATTGTTTTTATTTGTATCATGTTATTATATGTTTCGTATAAAACAAATTACTAAAATGTGGTGAGTTAAAACTTTCGAATAAAGGCCTACCTATGTAATACTAAACTGTTAAAGGCACATACAAATATTATAGCTTTTTAAAAATAAAAGCATAACTTGCAGAATCTGCAGGAGATCTCATTTTATTTATAAAGCGCATTTTTCTAATTGTCTTATTTTCAGTGATTTTATAAGCTTATAGTTACTATTTTTTTTATAATGCCACTCCAAAACTGCTCAAAATGAAAGAGAAAATCCTAACACTTTCAAGCTTTTATGGTTTAAGACCAATTTAAATTGTTGAGCTAAACCCTACAGAAACGCATTGTAAGCTTTGAATAAATTTTGCCACTATATAATCATTCTACGAACCATTGGAAAAATACAAACTAGAGTTTCTATGGTGTCAGATATTTAACTGTTATCACCAGACTCTAACTCCAAAAAAAAAATAGTTTCAAGTGTCAGACAAACATGTCGCTAGTAGCTTCAATAAATCTTTGAAACTTTTTAAATGCAATTTTACTTTACTTTATAATTTATAGGACTATTTTTAATACACCATTATTTTGCAGTAAGCGTAATCTATTATGTATCTTTTAACACTTTATTCATAAATGATTTTGCAATGCCGTAAAGTAAGATAGTGACAACATATATTGAAGTTAGGTTATTTACAGTTAAATTAAAATAAAAGCACAATATATATTTTTTTACAAATATATCATAGATGTCCTCTTTCAATGTTAGAACAAATTAAGAACTCCTGATGGGGCATGGGACTGTGTAGAACATTCGAATGCTAACCGGAAAGTCTCGAGATCGAATCCCAGGCTTGAGCCCGTATTTCGTCCCCGAGTCAACTCAGCTGGGTACCTATCCCATATTGGGGGAAAGTAAAAGCGCCTGGGCTTGATGTGACCGCTCTACTCCTTCATAATCCAAGGTCACTGTTGCTGGTGAACTCTACTTCACCTACTCCAAAGGGTACTTTTCTAAACTTTACTTGATGAGCTGTCATGTCTAGAACGGACTTTAGCTTCAGTTTTTCATTTGTTTTCCATTACAGTTTTAATTACTGCAATTGCCTTTATTTCTCTATTTTAGATGTACAGAATAGAAGAACACTTTCTGGCTCTGCTCGTGTGAATATAAAAAATAGCTATAAAAATGAGCCGTATAGAACTATATGCTCACGAGATCTATACAGCTGCTCAACGAGGAAATATTGAACACTTGGATATTGCATTAATTAATCGCAAAAATAGATATGGCCTTATTGCACTTATGATATCTGTGGTTGGTAATAATGTGTTGGCATTAAAAACGCTACTATCAGCGAGTGCTGACCCTAATGTATCAAATTACAATTCCAGCTATATCACAGCACTGACCATGGCGGTGGGAAAAAACAGAGTTGAGTGTGTTAAAGAACTGATCAGGGCAGGAGCTTTCTTTACGTGTGAGCGAGGGTTGGAGGCTTTAAAGTTGGCGAGGGATCACAACTTTTTGGATGCTGTTGTGGAAGGGGATGAAGCTATGAAAAAATATGTAAAACAAGATTCGGACAAATGGGAAACGGCGTTTTATATAGCTTTCAAGAACAAATGTTTTGATTTAATCACAGAGTTAGTAAACGCGGGCGGTTCTATCAGTTTGAGGTCATTCAAGTATGAAGATATAACAGGAAATACACATTTGGCTACATTGCTTATGAACACAGCTAAAGTAAATCTCAACGAAAGCTTTGAAAATGGAGAGACTGCTTACACAGGCCGTAAAATCAAACGATGTAACGATTATAAAAAATCTCATAGAAAAACACGTTGATCTTTATCCAGCTCTTCATGTTGCTTGTACAAGGGGTCATGCTGAGATTGTAAACTTACTATTGGCGGCTGGGGCAAGCACGGAAGTGTCTTGTGAAAATGACTTTACACCTCTAATGGCAGCGTATGTATCATCCAATGAGAGTTGCTGTATCATCGAAGTCATGGGGATGCTAATTACTGCAACTGTGTTGACGAATATTGCAGTACCTTACTTATGAAAGCTGTTCAATGCAAACAAATGGAGATTGTTAAATTTCTTTTAGAAAATAAAATAAATATCAACCAAGCAGATGAATTCGTGGGTATAGCTCTTCATTACGCTTGCGAGACAAAAAACTTAGAGATGATACAAATACTTTTGTAAGCTGGAGCTAACATTGAGGCTTTCAATAGTAAACAGATGACACCTTTTTCCATAGCATGTAAACTATCACAGATAGACATGATGAAATTATTTGTAGATGCAGGCTCAGATATAAATTGTGTAGATACTCATCACCGAACACCGTTTATAAATTCTATTAGGGAAGTAAACTTTGAAACCACACAATTTTTGTTAGAACATGGAGCTGATATTTCAAAGGTGGACATAGACGGAATGACAGCCTTGATGTGGGCAGCTAAAACGAACAACAGGAATGTGCTTGACCTTCTACTTGACCTTAAGCCTGAGGTTAATTGTGTTGACCTAAAACATACGACAGCATTAGCTCATGCAGTGATGAGCCGTAACGTTCAGATTGTAGCCAAGTTGATACAAGCTGGAGCTGATGTTAACATCGCATCTAACTGCCAAGTAGAATGCACTGCAATCGGTATCAGTAACAATTTTGAACGTTTAAAAGAAATTCAAGAAAATATTTAAAAACCTTCTAATAGTAAAAACACACCGTTATATATAGCTACATCAACAAGTCAAAGAAATAGCAGAAACGAAATAGTGAAGTTATTATTAGAAGCTGGAGCAAATGTTCAATCAGTAGATGAATATGGCAGACCATCCTTGTACATCGCAGCTGCTTTGTGAAATTTGGAGATCGTGAAACGATTACGCCATTTTGGTGCAAACGTAGATACATTAGACCATGTTGGAAATTCCCCATTGTTTATTTCAGTATTTTACAAACAAAATGAGTTAACCAAATATTTGCTTGAATGTGGAGCTGATGTAAACTTGATATGTGATTCTCTATGCTCGCCTTTATTTGTTGCTGTTTTAAATAACGACACGGAGCTTGTAAAGTTGTTGATTAAACAGGGCGCGATTGTCGACAAAGGCAGAGACTCGGAGCTAATGGTTGCTCTTGAGTATGGAAATATTGAAATGGCGATAGCTGTACTAGAAATAGGAGCTAATTCTTATCTACGTGATAAGAACAATACACCGGCACTAATGATAGGTATGAAACTCGCAAGTCATATGAATCATTATATTGTTGTTACACCTTCGAGATAAAATACAAGTTTGGAAACATAAAATCAAGCATTTAACCCAGTTATTTTTGAGAAATGGAGCAAATGTTTCGACTACTGATGATGAAGGCAACACTTGTTTACACTTAGCTGTTGAGATTTGCAAGCAGGGATTTTTGTGTCTGTTTGTTGCCTACGAAGCTGATGTGAATGTCCAGAATGTAAAAGGTGAGACGCCGTTAATGATGGCGTGTCGTCGTGGTAACGTTGAGGCTGTCAAGTACCTTCTCTCTGTTGGAGCTGATGTTAATGCAAGTAACACACATGGCCAGACTGCCTGTATGATCGCCGTCCTCAACGATCGTTTTGAAATTTTACCTTCACTCAAAAGATCTAATGTTGATCTAAACAAACTAGATAAAGAAAACAAATCTGTTGTTCTTCATGTTTTATTAAAAAACAAAAACAGAACATGGGTTTATATTTCGGAACTATTAGAACTAGGAGCATACACGGTTGTTGATTACCAGTACATACATTTAGTCAAAGCTATGAAAACAAAATACGAAAAAAAAGAATATATAATACGATTTCATCATCCTGACTGTTTCCAACGAATGTTTCAGTTTTTTCTCTTACATGGTTGCTTTTTAAATCAGACAATCGAAAGATGTCAAAAATCTCATTTTTACCATTCAATTTTCGAAAACAATTTAGAATTTGTAAGATACATATTCGCCATCGGTATGTTAGTCAAGTTTGACTTACATTTGCTTCGTAGGTATAAAGAAAATTTCCCTGTCTATTTTAGAAATTCTTCGTCAACTTTGAAAGCAGAATTAATATCGGCTGTAAAGGAACCCTGGCCATTGGTCAAACTAGCTTTTATTGAAGTCTCTACCTTACTTGGGCTTGGACCTATGAGAGAAGAAAAACTAAAACAGACCAAACTCCCACCAAGATTACAGCAAACGTTGATGTTTCAAGAACCAATATCAAGATTACCCGTAGAAGACTGGTCTAAAATACCTCTTTGTTTTGACCCAGTACAGTACGAGACTTTACCCTGTCCTAGACCTTTACTCTACTACTGGCCTGTTGGTCACAAACTGGTTAACGAAGTGCTATTACAAAGATAATTCTAAAAAACAAGATGCTTGGACAATTATTTGTTAGAGCTACTTCTAGCAAAAAATAAATTAAGATTTGGAAGGATTAAACTAAATACTTTTAAAATTATCTTTAAATGAACTCTCAGTCAATTTAGTCATTTTTCTATCACTTAAGCCATATAGGGCCTATATTTATAAGTATTAATGGAGGTGCCTGGGTGAACACAGACATAACCAACGTTCAAAAGATACAACAAACATGTTATTGTTTTAATTGTTTTTGTAATTTATTTTTATTTGTAGTATTATTATAAAAAATGTCTTTCTGTTAAGTAATCATTATTTCCATTGTCATTATTATACTTAAATCTTCTTAGTCTAAATGTTTAAAAGAATATGTTTATTTATATTTATAATTATTATTTTGTACAGTTAGTGTTTAAACTATCATTAAGATTTATTTTGTTTTCATTGATTAAAAATTAGATTAATATTTAGTTAAAATATGCTATATTTAATAAATTATTTTTGCTGTAATGTATTATACAACGTGATAAATTATGCTCAAATTTAAAACCCAACATCTTGAACAACTCAACTACATCACACACACAACAACATGCATTGCAACATCACACAGTCAAACACACGATCCATTACATCACACACCCAACAACACCACACACCTAATAACGTGAACCACAACATCATACACCCAACAACACCACTCTAACAACATGAACCACAACATCACACACCCAACAACAACCACCTAACAACATGAACCACAACATCACACACCTAATAATATGAACCACAACATCACACACCCAACAACAACCACCTAACAACATGAACCACAACATCACACACCTAATAATATAAACCACAACATAACACACCCAACAACAACCACCTAATAACATGAACCACAACATCACACACCTAATAATATAAACCACAACATAACACACCCAACAACAACCACCTAATAACATGAACCACAACATCACACACCTAATAATATAAACCACAACATCACACACCCAACAACAACCACCTAATAACATGAACCACAACATCACACACCTAATAATATAAACCACAACATCACACACCCAACAACACTAGCCACGACATCAAACAGAACAAATTATCTGAGACACAATATTCCAGACAAAATATCTGCGGACAAATGATCTCAGGACAAATTATCTGAGACACAATATCCCAGACAAAATATCTGCGGACAAATGATCTCAGGACAAATGATCTGAGACACAATATCCCAGACAAAATATCTGCGGACAAATGATCTCAGGACAAATGATCTGAGACACAATATCCCAGACAAAATATCTGCGGACAAATGATCTCAGGTCGAATGATGTCATAGAAAAAAAACAATGTACAATATACTAAATTAAAAGAAATAATGTAAGTATTTGTTGAATATTGAATATAATTTAAATATAATTTAAATAATTTATATATGCTTGCTTCGTGCTTCAGTCTGCGACTCCACTGGCTGTTATCCAGAGGAACAAGCTTAGGGTTCAGCATGGTGTGTTCTTTCGAGAAAGTTGTTAGCGTTATCAATCATTGGATATGAACTCAAATCTAGTAAGAAACATCGTTACCCATTACAGGAGGGTGAAACATTTCTAAAATCAACATAAATTAAAAAAAATAAAAATAAATCTGCAAGTGCATTATCAAACGATTAATATATTTTAAACTATAATTCATTTTTAATAGATGCTTGTATACAGTATAACAATACAGTAACTGGTATAGATTTATTATATTATTAAAATATTTAATAAAAGAAAAGTCTATTGCCTTAAAATAATATAAAAATAAACTTACTGTTAAAGAAGGTAATGATAGGCCAACGCCAAAATAAACAATAATAAACCAAAACCCACACACTCTGCAACAGTATAGTTTCGAGAAGGCGCCAGTCTAAGTGTGGTCCCATTAGCTGAAAGAGAAAAAAAAACATTTTTGAAAAGAAGTGTCACGCTTAACTAATGTAGTTTTTACTAAACCTGCCTATGTATGCAAAGTTAACAAAAAAATGGTATTCTCAAGACCCAAAGAATAGAGGTAGCATTAGAATTGTGCACAAAGTACAATGCAATTTTGTTGAAATATCAAACCTCTCAAGTTTTACAACCTTCAGGATCCATGACAATATTTTCTGTACACACAATATTGCGGAATATGATGATTGTGCTGAATAATTAACATCTCCTTTCCGTCTCGTATACGAATATAATGGATGCATTGTAATCGTAATAAAAACTCTATATGGAGATTTTACTTACAGTTTTTTTACGTTTTACATCGTTTAGGATCCGGACAATCTTACTTTTGTAATTTCTTCGTTTAATTTGGTTTGAAGAAATTCCTTTTGTAAGTAATATCTCGAATGGTTGTGTATTTTTAAAATCAATTTCTTGCCTATTCCGGGTAAGCGGAAGTCGTAAATAATGAAACGCCTGTTTTTCTCCTTCTTCTTCGTTCTTAATTTTTTGTTTTGGAAGGGCTCGAGACTTATCTACCACAAGAATCGAACTCGAGACTTTTTCTAATTTATCAACCATGAGCTTTAGCCGACTCGACCACGCATCCATCACAATTAAGGATACGTGTCAACTTGTTATGCGCCATTAAGGCCATTGACTCCGATTTCAGCCTGCTTTTCTTTTTGGATTTGCTTCCATAGCCTTTGTCCAACCAAGAACAAACTACAAAGCAGCAGTTGTTTGATTTTGGAGTTGTCTCTCATAGAAGAGTGGCTGTCCCCAGCTAACGAGCCTCATCTGCCCGAGGGTTCAAACTCTAGACCTTCCGGTTTAGCAACCATGAGCTTTACCGACTTGACCAGGCCAACCCCGGTTTTTCAAAAGTCTATAGGTGGATGCATTTTCAGAAACCCGGCGTGGTTCTGTACTCGTTTTTTTTAATATTTGAATTGATAAGATGATTCTAAACTACTCTTCAACGGCTTATAGTTAATACAAAAATATGAAAATTAGTGTAATCGATGGTTTCCAAACAGTTTTAAGTTTTCAAAATGTGACAATATTTTGATATCTTTTTTAACATTTTTTAAACAAAATTAGTTTGAATACAGGCCTTTTCAAGCCTATAGAAGCAACTGAACCGTATAATTGAAACTCTTTATTTTTGTAACTGTGCCTTTCTGTGTGCTATTGTGTTTGTGGCTGATGAATTCTTAGTGTTATGCTAAATTTAAATTAAGGTAGACCTGAGTGTGTCTAGATTTCATACAATTTGATGTTTAATGTTAAAATAAGTAGACGTGTGTTTGTCTAAATTTTATGACATGGAGTCCAGATTTGATAAGAAGTGGTGTAATATTAAAACAAGGTTAGACGTGTGTTTGACTATAATCGGAAGTTAAACACTTTTACTCGGACAGATGAGGCTCGTTAGCTGGGGACAGCTATCTAGGAGATAACACTCCAAAATCAAACAACTGCTGCCTTGAAGCAAATCCAAAAAAGAAAAGCAGGCTGACATCGGAGTGAATGACCTCAATGGCGCATAACAAGTTGACACGTATACTTGAATGTGCTGGAGGGGATCCCTTCCAACACTAAAAGTTTAGAACGAAGAAGAAGAAGAAGAAACTTTTATAAAATATACCTGATAAATAATGACATCCTTGGTTGTAATTCTTCATTTTAAGATCCGTGAGGTAGGCCGCACCACAACAAAACCAGCCCGAGTCTGAGAGATGAAACTGACTGATATTGATCCCTATGTAAGCAGACCGGTTTAGTGTAGCGATGTTTGATGCTAGTTGTAGGTCACTTTTTATATATATCCACGTGTGGTTTCCACTGCGTTTGTTTATCTGAGTTAACATGTTCTATAGGTTGAGAAATTAAATTTTTTTTTTAACATAACAATAAATAAATAACGTGATGTTATTACAGGCTAACAGAACACAGGAGATGCGGCAAGTGATAGTGGCTGGAGCACGTCCATTGTGTATGCGTCAAATTGATGTGGGTATTCCTTAATGGAAAATAAAACTTTTACAACAAATCTCAATTAAAGTCATAATAATAGTGTAGTGGTTTCTCTGAATAATAGATACATAAATTATTAAACCAAATGTCAAAAATAGCTATGCTTTAAAGCCATTTGCGTGCTTTGAGATTTCCCTCTGCGCTCTTTCTGGGTAGAAATATTATAAACAAAAAAAAACGATCTCATAGGCTTGAAACCCATGACAGAGGTAAAATAATGACCAGACCTAGAGTAAAATACCTAAAACAGTGTTATTTTAGCTGTTTATATGCACACACTAATTAACACCACTGAGCTTTTTCGACTCAGAATTAATAATTTATAATGATTTAAATACAAATTTCGACGAAACAGAATGCTTACTACACAAAATGGATATTTAAAAACTTAAGAGTAAAGAAGAAAGCATATAGTTCAAGTAATAATCTTTTTACAATGCAATACATTAACCAGCATAAAACATAAATACATTACTGTATTATTTTCAGGGTCTCTTGAAATGGCGTAAAGGCATGTTTCATTTGATTCATCGCTTTTCCACGTTAACTTGATAGATTCTAAATCAGACACTTCTACGGGAATCCTGGCTAGGTCCGCGTCACAAAATACCGAAACAGATTCTCCTGGCATGGCCAAACTCGGATGAAGGATGGCTTTCTGACCAACTGTTGGTACATATGATATCAAGGAAATTAAATTTTTTTTTTGTTTTTTAATATTTTTTTAAAGGTAAACATACATTGAAAACATAAAGAAAGAAAGAGAGAGAGAAAGCAGCGAGAGAGAGAGAGAGAGAGAGACAGAGATAGGAATGTGCATATATATATATATATATATATATATATATATGTATATATATATATATAAGTGAACTCTACTTCACTTGCCCCATAGACCGTCAGGTTTGAAAGGGAAACTTTACTTTTTACTTTTATGTATATATATATATATATATATAT